CTTCTAGAAAAAAACCAATAAAATGAAAATCAACCAAAGTAAGCCTGCTTCTGAGGTCATCCAACTATCCATAGTATGCATAGAGACACCTGCTGGTCATATCAACTATCTCTAAATGTAAATGGACTATATAAAAGCCTGAGGGTAAATATTTAACACAGATAGAAGTCATAACAACCAATAAAGTGGAGAAACTAACAAGTAAGTTGCGGAAAGTTGACAACCTCTGCAGTCAGAGAAGCAGAAGCATATCGATGAAGTTGCTTTTGTAGTGCTAAACTGCGTGCCTAGGTAGTGCTAAACAACGTGCCTAGGTTTTCTCTTTGTACCTATGGCAAGTATATGTAAAATGTTAACAACACAAATAGATAACATGAATTTGACAACTATTTTGTTGGATTTTATGGCCATAGTTAATTAGCCTACCTTCTTGTAGTTATATCAAAAAGCAGTCCATACTGTTCATTTACATCGTAAGGCACATACTCAGGATCTTCTTTAACTAGGTGACTTCTATATTCCTCGTAAGAAATATATTTTACATCAGAGACTTCACTATCCTGATATCAAGCAAAAGCAAATAAGAAACATTCAGATTTTCAGATAGTTTTATAGCTGGAAGGAACTTGTTATTAATAAGAAATAACAACAAGATGAATTGAAGGCTGGAACATATTTTGCAAGTCAATGCATGACTTTCATAAATGGTTGTACAAAAAAAGTATAATGAATTAAAGATTAAGCACCAGGTACCACCAGTAACCTTAAAATTCTGGAATTAAAACCAATTCATAGAGGACAATCATGGTAAGGATGGAAGTTCTGAAGAAAAAAATCTCAGGCTACAGAACAGAGACCTGTGAGCTATGGCGATTTAATTTAAAATAGGCTACTGAAGATAATTTGTGCAAGCCTATTAGCTTCTATAACTAACCATAAAATAAAATAATAGCATTTTCTAACAAATGCATTGATCAAATAGACTTCTAGACTTCTCCTTTGTCTTAGTGCAAGATGTTGTATGCTATTGCAATATTGTTACCATAAAATAATTATATGTAATTATGTACTTTCCTAATTGTTGGCCTAAAATGATTCAAAACTATAGCCTAACATAATTCTCTTTTTTGGCGTTTCATACAGCCAACCACAGAGTTATGGGATATAAGACAGTTTTTGTTTTTGTTTTTGTTATTGTATGTACTTTCCAAATTGTTTTCCTGTTTATTTGACTTAGAAAATATTGGCAAAGAAAAAAAAACAACTTAAAAAATGCACCAAAAGTTAAATTGCACTGTCCAAAATATTTTGGAAGATTTTGAAAAAAAAAAAAAAGAAAAGAGATTTGTTCAACTTGTTTCCTGTAATTTGTCACTGGCACTGGCATCTTTCTTCCTGTGCTCGCTTAAGATCAGCAAGAAATCTTCTATCAAATAACAAAAGTTACAAATAGAAACAGCATTGAAATACAAGAAATAGTTGGAGAATCGTCTTCTGTTCCATGTAGTAGGGCTTAAGATCTGGAGTTGAATTCCATATGTATATTCAAGCATGTTTAAACTTGAGATGATAAAGCATACCTACACTACATAGTCCATGTAGATCAACTTTGTCGTTAATGTAGAAAATTTTGGAATAGCCAGAAAATAAATTCATTCTTCATCAAACAATCATAAAAAACAAAATCAGTAAAATTGAGAATGATAGCTCTAACTTCTAACTAGTTATTTCTCGATTTTTTAAAAGGAAAGAGAAAGTTCTTTGATGCTGAAAAATAATACAGAATTTTGTATATGCTTATGAAATAACACTGAACAAGTTCAAATATTCAGCTGATAATAATGACTAACTTCCATACCTGAAGTGTCAAGGCCTCTAGAGGAATTGGATCTACAGTTGTTACTAGATATACATCGTTGTATTCATTATTTATGAATTTGCCATCATTTACAACACTACAACCAAATGTAAACAGCGGTTGTTAAGTCAATGTGAAACTGAAAACATCACAAAATCACTTAATTAAGCATCCCAGTAACGTCAAAAATTCATCAATCAAACAAAAATTCCAGAAAATAAACACAGCATAAAATGATAACGCAAAAATGGTAATTATAGATTGAAAGTGACGTGGGACCTAAGTGGAATCTGAAGGTCCAGATGGTCTTCCATATTGCATCACCTGGGTGCAACAAACCTTAGAAAAAAAACATAGAAAAATGCTCTTCTCTAAGGAAAGAAACTCAAAACTATAAACCTAAATGAAAATTAAAACCATATATTTCCAAACAAATTTATTACAAATGCTAATTGTTCATTGAAAACATTGAACCCTGATGGAGCTAAAAAAAAGACTTGATCAGCACCAGAAATCACTTCACCAATGGTTCTAGTAAAGCATAAAAGCGAGGAAAGCATGATTTCTTCTTCTTTTTTATTAGGAAAATGTAAAAGAAAACAAAAACAAAAGCAAACGAAATTTGGCCAACACTACCAACAAAGATCATAGTCATCTATTCAATTAGAGCAGTTACATTGAAAGGAGAAAAGTAAATTCCACCAACAGAGAAAGATGATATTATCAACTAACCATTCTTGAAGAAAAACGAAGATCAACTCAAATGCATCCTTTGGGAGGATCACCCCCAGTTCTTCATGAAGCTCCCTCCTGAATCCATAAGATTTTTTGCAAGCATTGTACTTTAACATCAGAACAATCAAAAAGGGATAAATGTGTGGACAATTATATGATCAATAAGTAAGAAATGAAGGAAAGATGGAAAAATTGGGCCAGTTGAGGTAAAAAATCAATACATACTGATCTCCAAAGAATATTCTTGTGCTGATAGTCACTAAAAAGAAATGAAAAGTAAGATCATTTTCCAGAGAGCTATTGTTGGAAACATAAGGAAAATAACAGCTATAATGTTGAACAATTTTTAAAAAATTAAAATTTTATTTCAGCAATAACTTGTCATGCTAATGTAGGAAATCTGGTCAAATTGAAGGTCATGTCTTCAAGATTTCAAGGTCAAACTGCATTACTCATTTCAAAGGCCATCTGGTGTTCAAGGTTTAACATATCAGGGAGTCTGTAATAACAATTCAAAGGCAACTAATGATAATCTCAAGGCAGATGGCACTGCCACTCAGAATTAAAAGGATTCAAACATTGGATACAGGTCGAAGAATACACATTCCATTAATGAATCATGGACATTACTACAATAGAGTGCATTTGAAGCTGAAAATTAGGCAGCCATATTTCTGAAACCACTCGATGTTCAACATCTTGGTTTTAGTAGGAACTACAACCAGTCAGTCTTGGCTCATAATGTACCCTGATAAGATTGCTCGAGCCACTAGGTAACTGAAAACATCAATAGAAACCTAGAAAAGAAGCACCACCAAAAACTTATGAAGTCAGATTCACTTACTGTGCTGTTATTAGTGATGAATCACTAGCAGATATATGGCCAGCACTGGAGATATCCCACAACCCTGGCCAAGAGTCCTTGCAGTCTGCATGGTTTTGGAGAAGCAACTCTTCTGTGCTTTCAGCAAATATCCAAACGTGGACAGCTCGATGGTAATCCCCATCTCGATGAACATCTACCTTGCAAGGACACCACAACAATTTACGTACTGAGAAACTAATAATATAGAGAATAATTGGCAGACAGAACCGATTTACAGGCCTCTAGAAAATCTCTGGACTGAAATCATAAGCAATCATTAACAAGATAAACCATGACAGCAAATTTAATTATATGACCAGACAAAATAAACAAAAGAAAAAAAGAACAACAGATGTGATTCTCCATCTCATAAAATGAAAGGAATAACCATCTGTCATTGTTTAAAGCGATATACATGTCATTCATATACAATGCACAACTTATATTTTACTTAGGAATATAAAGATCAGCCTCTTTTGGCATTTTACAAGAGAACCAGAAATCAAGATCATACACATACTCAGGTCTCTGGCTTTATTACGAAGCATGACTCCTTTCCCATCTCAGGCTTTGCCCCAGGTTTGCAAGTATACTAATAATGGTTACATAACCATATCTTGACGAAACTCACAACCAGCAAGGTGCAACTCAATCATTTACTAAAACTAAATTCTTTTTTATGGAAAACGTGCCTCCATAGCTCCAGCTTGCAACTTTTCAATTCCCAGTTCCAACTTCAAGGACCATAGGCAAACTCTCCACTTCAAAACTTTCAACTCCCAGTTCCACAGAGTACCAAGGCATTATAAAATTATTGGTTCATAAAAAGAATTTAAAAAAAAAAAAAAAACCATAAAAAATTGACTACCACTACTACTATTTTCAAGGAACCAGCTTAATTATTCACAAAAGTTTTAAGATACCCAATTTGCAAACACTGCAAATAACAAGTATACATTAAAATTAATTCCCCAATTTTTTTTCTAATGCGATAGATGCAATAACTTTTACTATAGAAAATCTTCTTTTTTTCTTTCACAAAAATGAAAAAATTTGAAGCATCAGAAAAATGATAATCGAGAAATGAATACGAAAATTCCTTAAAGATTGTAGAAGAGGAAAGGGAGGGACGTGCCTGCACTTGGAAACGCCGGTTTTTTCACCGGTTTTAGTGAGAACATCGATATACTCTTCTTCTTGCAAGTGAGGCTCAGCCATGATTTCTTTGGATGAATGATGAATCTGTCTTCGTTGAGCATTTTATTGCATCTTTTGGTTAGCGTAATGGCTTCGTCGGATTCTGTCTCTTTTTTCTTTCCTTTATTCTTCGGGTTTGCTTTTTTGATCGGATGCCTCACTTCCTCATCATAATTGAAGAATTAATTCCTCCCACTTTTTTGTTTTCTTTACCTAATTAGGTTTAATAAATTCAAAATTTTTAAATTTTTATTTCCTTTAATAAGGTTGCCTAATCATTTTTTTTTTAATTTACCCAAAAAAATTCAATGACAATTTTTGCAATAGCCCTAAAGGCAGAAACATACAACATGATTCAATTGTCGATGGGATTATTATCACATAAATATATTTCTGATTTGAGAGGAAAAAGATCTGTCAGAGTAGAAGTAAAGTTGCATGGTTGTTCATGACAATCCATTTATAACTTCCTCAAAACTATCGCTTTACTGATCTTTCCTCATTACCAGTAAACCGTAGAGATTCTGAGATCATACAACATCCAAAATGATCTTCATTGATCATCATCATCTTCTCCGCACAGCAGAAGTAGGCCCTCGCTGCACTGCTCCAGCCGACGGCTGTCCTTGTGCAGGTACCTGGCCAGTAGCCTGTTCCTCAGGCATGTTCATTGCTTGTGTTATGGCATTCATGACGATGAGTCCCAGAGGAATCAAATACATCCACTGATAAGATTCAATCATCAGACTAAAGAAAATTTTATAGTGAAGGCTAGCAAAACAATTAGTCTAATACCAATTTGACTACTCACATATTTAGCCCAAAAAGACCTTTCAGGTGGCTGCACAACTTCGCCTTCTCCACTCTCACCACCAAGAATTTCTTCAGCAAAGATGGGAGCTCTATAAAATAGAATCAAACGCAGTCAATGCAACCTATAAATGATAGAATTATCAAGCAAAGATGAAACAAAAGATAAGCTTGTACTGTATCATGCATTCTAAAAGTGAAGAGAAAAGATAAGCTTGTACTGTATTCTTTTCTCCCTCAAATGACTGTTCAAGTAATGAGTAATTTTGATAGTGTCAAACAACAGAATTAATGTCAAAGGAACAGTCTAATGATCTCAGCTAGACTTTAGATTAAACTGCTAACATTGCAGAAAATCCACAAGATAGAGAGAGATACAAAATATTCTGTTTTCCAAGAAAAGATAATGCTGATATTTAAAAAAGCCGGGATGTGAGAAAAGTGAGAGAGAAAGAGCAATTTTAAGAGCAGCATACCTGGGCGCCTGCTCACTGTTCTTCAACACTGTATGTGAGCTAAAGGACCACTTTGTAGGCTGAAATAGAGATTATAAAGCGCAAATTAAGGGACCATTATGCAATCAAATTTTGTTGAAAGGAAAGAATCGCGTTCCTTCTTCTTCAAGGTTCTATCATATCAAATATGCACAATTGAACTTATATTTTATAGAACAAGTTGATGCAAGTCTACAAAAACTCAAACAACTATACACGCTGAATGCTAAAACTCCCTCATAAGCTGAAGTCACAGTTCACATCAAGTAGCAATTTCAAACACTTGATCAGCTTACATAGAGGTGACGAATGCTAAACTCTCTCCTACGGTAAATTGGAATATTTCGATGAAAGAAAGCTCATTGTCATTGAAAAAAATCAACTGCATATTAGTTAACTGGATTCCATTTTGTTGTTGCATTTGGTATACCCTTTTAAGCATTTGATTTGCTTCCTCAAAGTTTGCTGGAAGGACAAAGCTAATGGTAGAAGTCTAATTCATATTTGAAATGTATAAGATTTCAAACAGAACCGTTCCACATAAAAGTAAAATAATGGATATAATTTTTTTCAGAAAAGTGAATTATTCAAAAGTATTACTCATTTTTTATATCTAATTGCACCTTTTTTCTTACTTCCAGAAGTAAAAAGTAACAATCAAACAGTTTATAACTAAAATATGAAATACACACAAAAACAAAACTTTGAAGCCATCATTAAAACCAAGAGCTAGTTAGGCTTTATTTCATATATTACTACTTTACTAGAATTTTGCTCGCACGTTGTTGTGGGGGCAAAATTTTTTTACTAGAATATATTAAATTTTTGAAAAAATATATATCTTAATATATGCTAATACCAATATACCACAAATTCATTTACAACATTTATAAATGAGCAATTAACATTAATTAAATATTTTTATTTGTTATTCATATTAATCATATTATTTTTTATATAACCAATTAAACCTCCCAAGAGTTTACTTTCATATACAGTTGATAAAATTAAATGCAGTGTAAAAGATGAAATTAGCACTAAAGCATTTTGTTTTATCATAAGCGTGTATGTATCTCCATATCAAAGAGTTGACATAAAATGAAATGCAAGGTAAAAGATGAAATTCAAGGTGGTTGACATAATTGTGGTTCCCCTAAATTTTAAGCAGAAACTAATGGCAGACAGCGGCAACTAAGAAACACACTCAAAGTTATCTCCATGATAGAACCATACAGTATAAAATCAACGAAAACCAAACAATTATTGGGGAGGAAGGGGTTATAGTTTCTGCTCGGTGCTCAATTACAGGGAAGAAATACCAGACTAAGAGCTCAATCCTGACTTACAAGTTTCAAATTCCGAGGATATGAGCATGACCCAGGAGAACCATAATTGACAGCCAAAACATTTACACCCTCCTGCAAACAAGAGCAAAAACAGGGAAAATTTTAACAATGACTGCAGTCAGATCCACATCAATCAGGAAATTTACTATATTAACTAGCAATTTGACATCTGTCCTTATAATCCAAACATTCCAAATAGAAAATATGGTAAACATATGTGCATGATTACAACGATAAAACCAAATAAGCACAGTTAATGGAGAGTCCAGATTCTCATGCTTTAAATGTCTTCCTTCTAAAATTTACTTTATGCAGCCTATAAATTTTGTTCCACTCTTATATTATCAATTACTACTACATGCAAAGAAAGTAATTATGGTGCAAACAAGTATAGATGATATGCACGTATAAGCAGAAAAAGCCATAAAACCAAATAAAGCACAGTCAAAAGAGAGTCCAGAGGGAAATTTCTCATATTTGAAATGTCTTCCTTCTAAAACCGACTGTACATCCTGTAAATTTTGCTGCAATCATATATTACCAACTACTACTACATATGGAGAAAGTAAATATGGTGCAAACAAGAATCCATCAGAGGCATGTATAAGCAGCAAAAGTTTACAAGGTAGTTGAGACACAAACCAAACTTATATGTCAACAAAATGTCATTAAAAGAAGTCCCTAAATAGGCAGAGCAACGTCTCAGATGGACTGTGCAAATTAATACATTGAAACCTAAAATAAAATGCCATTCCCATTTATTTCCAACAAGTTATGCAACATGAAGACAATCAATATTCTGATATATCCTCAAGAGACCAAATAAACTTCCATTTTACACTCTATAATGTGGTATAACAATACAGGTCAACAATGCTAAAGTCAGCTTGGTTTGATTATAAAACTACAGAAAACATTGAATCATTTAAGCCAAATGCAGTTGCTTATTCAAAAAATGCCTTGTTGTTTGGATGATGTTGCAAAAGGAAAAAGTAACTGAAGACAAAAAGACAGAAAAATATCAAACTTTTCAAAGGCTTAGAGCAGGGGGCAAAAAAATCAAACTTTTCAAATGCTCAGGGCAGGGGCTAGATCAAGAAGTAGAATTAGTAAGCACATGCTACACGCATGTTGGCACATGCTGAAGAGATTAAAGTTTTAATGATAAGATCATTTATCATCTAAATAACAGTTCAAGAAAAATTGTACAGGATAGCATTCAAAAGAACCAGCTCCATTGGTGGGCTCACTATCTGTTTTGCCCTTTTTGCCAATTTTAGCTTCTTATACAGAGATAACAGTCAAAAGTTAATAAAGAGAGACTGAAACCAATTAGACTGTCTGGAGTTTGGGTTCTTCTTGGCAATTGAACACCAAGATTTCAAAGGAGTACTTGACTGCTCTCAACCATGGACAATTCAAAGAAGCTAAATCCAGATATTTGCATTCCATTTGGTCAGTATCATGCATATATATTAGCACTATCTAGCGATCACAAAAGAGAACCAAAGCAGGTTTCACAAAAAGACAGAACTTAAATTGCAGGTTAATTCTTATTTGGTTAATCCTCTGGATAAGATTCACTAATGGTGTCACCAGTATATGAATAAGACCTACGCAGATTCGCATCCTAATTTCAGTGACAATAAGTTTCACAGGGGCACTTGAAAATCTAGAACCATTAGGGCTCTATTGATCATGTAATTTGGAGAAAATTGAGCACAAGGTTACAGAGTCTTCATCTACATGTGGCTTTAAAAGAACTGCAAAAGGTTGTTATTTTTTTGTCACTCCTTGACTACCCAGCAAAAATTCATCACATAAAGGGAATGTATGCATACGCAGGCACACATACAAAGGGGAGGGAGAGAGAGAAGAAAGAATAGTGTATTACCATGTGTATTACAAAATGCTCATCCAAACCCTCCCTAGGAAGACATCTCTGCAGTTAAACACAAAGAATAGTGAGAATTATATAAACTACAAGGAAAGGAATAAATAGTAGACATCAGAGAAACTTGGTGTCTAATTGAAGATGGTAATGGTGCCACTTTACTTCTCCCCCCACCCCATCTTTATTTCCATTTGACAATTAATGCTCCAACTACAACCCAAATTCCTGTTTGTCAATTCTAGGCTTTCCTCCTCAATATGACCATATGACAATTAAGGTCCAAAGTAAAAGCAAAATTTTAAATACCAGCATTACTCTATATTACAAATTATTGAGTTTCTTTTAGACAAATAGGTAACATCTAAGGTGTAAGAAGAAAAGCTTTAAGAAAATAGGAGGAAAAAATGAAAAAAATAATACCATAAATAGCCTAAGACAATAAGTTAAATCTGATATAATAGTTTAAGACAAAAGCATTTAAAAAAGGTGGTCAGATTTAAAACTTTTTCCTTCAAAAAGCTTAATTTGCACAACCTTTTAGTATTAGAGATTTCAGTTTAAGAGTAAAAGTCAAACACTAGCTGTATAGACGAAATGAACTGGAAATGTAAACAGGGCAGTTAAGCCTTTCAAGTTTCTTCTGGTTAGTTTAACCAAAAAAAGGCACCAAGAATCCCAATACCAAAAGCATAAAACAATAATATTACAGATCTCAACAAACAAGCTGAAGCAAACAGTAGCACTTACTGCTTTCACTGATGAAATAATAAAATCCCTCCCAGGTGGACTCAAAACATTAGATGGGAGTCTTATCCTATAGAAGTCATCACTTTTGAGCAGATTCTGCAAGAACAGATAATTAAAACCCAAAGCATCGTAAAATGGCCACTAACATAAAACAAAGCATGTAAATTAGAAATTTAGATAATGTGTGATTACTTTGAATTTCTCTTTCTCCTCATCAGTGAAACTGTTCCTTGAAAATCGTAGCTTTGTAAGAGTCTGTTGATAAAAAAAAGGTCAATCTAAAATTCTACCAGAGCTTTTCCCAACAAAAAAAGAAAATGACAACATGTTTAAAAGAAAGTCACTTCAGGATTAGATGAACTTAAGCATTCCAAACTCTCAGCCAACTATTATTTGCTTCATTGGTTGCTGAGAAACGGAGGGAAAAAGGAACAATGAACTAATTATTTTAGTATTCTACACAATAGATTATAAATTTGTTTGGTATTGCCAATAATAGATGCTGCCACTTACCTAAACCTCTTATTAGCAATACTGATCTCACAACTTAGTTCATTAATTTTCTCAAATTTGAAGGCATTTGGGAGTAGCAGGTGTTACATAGCCAAGGTGCAAGAAAGAAATTGAAAAGTAAAGTGCTTAAGCTTCAGCAAACTCCTCTCTAATCTTAATGATGTTTCCAACAACAGTCCAATATCCACTTTTAAGATTTAGTATGAAACCAAGTATTAGTTGAATCCATTTGCAAATTAATTTCAAAGAACTCAGAGGCCCTTACTTTTAAAAAGGACAAATACCATGTTTGCCACTATACTAAGGCTTAATGTTGTTTTCTCACCGTACTTCAATTGTATTAATTTTACCACCATAGTTTTATTTCGTCAAGTTTTGGAAAAAATTAAATAATGAAGAAACATTCCATGGAATATTTTGTTTACATATTTACAAAAGTTTTGGAGAAGCAGAAATTATGGCATGAAATTTCACATTGAACAAAAATATAAGCATGGCAGTCGTTGACACATTATTTTCTTAATTCCTTCTCATTTTTATTGCCAACTTATAAAAAAAATTGAGATATGGTTCAACATGCACCATTCTTTTAACTTTTGTCCAAATTTGAGTCGAGATTAAAGTACAATGTCAAAATTCATCGAAATTGAGTAAATTGACAAAATTCACAATTGAGCCATGATATGGAAGCAAATTTGGAATTTAGTTCTTTTAACAAAGTTGGATTGAGATTAAAATTTCTTGCCACCAATACAGATAAGTTCCTAAGGTAGAAGCATCCACCACACAAGGTGACTCCATTTTCCTCTGCTTTTAACATCTAAGGCTCTGTTTGCTTGTTATCTTTAAATTCCCCAAGTAAAATGTGAAGAAGAGCAATTTCAAGAACATTATGCACGATTTTACTTTAATTTAGAAAATTTCTGTTAGAATTCCCATTATAAACATTTGTTTATTTTTAATCAGCTATGATTTAACTTTTATGAAGCAAAAACAAAACCCAAACAAAGCCCAAGTCTAATAGTGCATTAAAAGATAAAGGTTAGTAAACCTGGCCACCGTGGCTCCAAGTTTTGAGGCGGGCGGAGAAAGTGCCAGCCGGAGAGAAATCGGAGTCGCCGAAAGCGTGGTCAAGCGAGAACTGGATCTTAGAATCGGAGTCGAGATCCGAATGCCTCTTCCGGGTCGGGGTTGTTAGGGGTGGGGATCGAGTGGGGATGGGTTCAGGGGAGCGATATTGTGGCGCTCCCTCGAGTCCGAACTCTTCGTCGTCAACGAGGAGCTCATCGGATTGGAATCCGAACGAAGGAAACAACAAGAGAGAGAGTGCGAGGATGAAAGCTACTATGACTTGGATCGTCTTCATAGTTGCCCTTTGCTTCGTATCCTCACCGATAAAGTTTCTGCGTTTTGATTAGTAATTAATAATAGTTTGAGAAAACTTCCTTTGTTTTTCCGTTTTGATACAACAGCGGCTTCGCTAAACCAATGTTTTAATTAAAAGAGTTAATACATTGCGCTCCTAATTTTTGGATGAAATTTTACTTTACTCGGTAATTTTTTAAAAATTTTAATTAGATCTTTAATTATATAAAATTATCATATTTTGATTCTTTTCATTATGAAATCAATTAAATTTACGGTAAGTATCAACTAACTTCACATGTATAATATTAGTTGATCCCTCCCGTGATAAATAAAGAGGTTAAAATAAAATTTTATTCAAAATTTACAAACTAAATATTCAACTATTTTGAAAGTTTTTTATTTCAAATATATTTTATAAAATATTATAATAAAGATATATTTAAAATATATAATTTATTAGTGAATATATTTTGTTTTTATAGAAAATAGATTTTTAATTTTTAAAAATTAAAAAATTTACTTGTACAAAAAATATTAATTTTCTTATAAATTATAATAAAAATATATTTTTTAAATTATCCTAATATTAAAAATCATTAAAAAATAGATTTAAAAATAAAATTAAGTTAAAGTTTTCAAAATCTTTTTTTAAAAAATTTTATAACATTTTAAAAAATTAAATAAAAATTCGTATATCGTTTTTAAAAAATTAAATAAAAAACTCCTTATTTTTTTAAATATTAAGTAAAAATTTCAAATTATTTAAAAAAATAAATTCATTAATCTATTTAAAATATTTTTTCAATTCAAAAAAATCTATTTTGAATCTATTTTTGATTAAAAAATTTTATTTAATATTTTAAAATTATATAAAAATTATTATTTTATTAATAAAATCGTTTTTATTTAAATTTAATTCTAAAATGTATTTAAATATACTAAAATATTAACATTAAATAGTTTTTTAATATTTCAATATTATTTTAAATAGTAAATAGGTTTAATCGGGTTTGAACGACTAAGTAACTGATCATGGATATATTTACTCTTTTTATTTTTTTATCAAATGAAAGAAGAGAAAGAAATTAATATTATTTTTTATTTTGTTAATTTTTTTTATTTTTCCATTAAAGATGATGTTAAAATTCGTGATTTTGACAATAAAAAATAAATACAAAGAGATATTTTTATTATTAGTAAATAATCATAAATTGAAACCAAAGCTGAGCCAAAAGTCTTAAATGATTGGTCCATATTTTTAAGAAGTAAATCTCAATAAAATTGAAGTTCAATTATCGCCACCTGTAAATTTTTTTTGGTCTTTCGCATATAAAAATAATAATAGTGGACTAAATTGAAATCCCAACAAATTAATAAAAGAATGTGCAATTTGCTAAGAAAAATGTGCAAAACTTAAAATTCACCCATTAAAATGATAAAAAAACTCCAAGGGAATGTACGTAAAACAAAATCCATCAAACCCGATAAAAAAAAAAAAAAACTAAACCCTAGAAAAAGTCCCCCTCCTCACCCCTTCTGCGAGAGAAAAAAAAGGGAAAAAAAAAGTGTTGTAGCTCAAATATTCCCCTTTCCCTTTCTAAGAGAAAGGAGAGGAAATTTCGAAAGGAAAAGAAAAATGGACGCAATGAGGAAACAGCTCGATGTCCTGATGGGAGCCAATCGAAATGGTGACGTTCGGGAAGTGAATCGCAAGTACTATGATCGCGATGTTTGCCGTCTCTTTTTGTCCGGGCTTTGTCCCCACGAGCTCTTCCAATTAACGGTACTCCGATTAAATTTAACTACTGATTCATTAATTTTATTGACTTCATTAAATTACCATTCATCAAGATTCTCTTTCTTTTGTTAAACGCTAATCTGTTTCATCATATCATTTGTTCGTTAAATTATAGATTAAGGGAGATTCGTTTGATTACGTGGAGTGATAGATTAGGGGAAACGAAGAGTTTGGGAAGCCTTTTGGTTTCTGTGAAAATGTGTTGGAAAGCTAGACAGGGGAGCTCGATTCCACATTCTTTTATAGTATTAGTTTATGGTATTAGTTTAGGTTCTATTAGTTTTTTTTTTTTTTTTACTAATTTTTTTGCTTGTAAAAGGACAGTATGTTTGAATACTGAAGCAACAATGTTTTTGACAATTTAAAATTTATAGTTTTGACTTTTATAAATTGGAAGAATGCATGATTTACTTTTACATTGAATGATTGTGTTGCGTTTTATTAATTAAATAAGAATTTTCTTTTGCTTTTAATAACTTTTTAGGAAATGAATAAAATAGAAAACACTAAGTTCCAAAAGTAAAAACGAAAACGATCATTACTGATAGGTAGGGAATGGATTGAGTAATACAGGAAATCTAAAGCAAAGGAAAAAATGGGTTAGGGGCAGGAGGAAAAACCATGATGGTAGGTAGTATATGTTGTTTGTAGAAAAAAAAAAAAAGAAAGCTAAACTTTATTAAAATTTTCTCTTCCTAAGTTTGTTTACTTAGGAGGTGAGGTCTAGGGAAGAAGAAAGGATTTTGACTCTAAACTCTTTGATTTGTCATTGTTCAGTAACGTGGAAAGAGAATAAATTTGAGACTTGCATGTTATAGTATTTCCAATTTCCTTTTTTTTAAATGTAATTTTTTAAATTCATGGTATCAATTGATACAATTTCTTTTGTTTGAGAGGATTTTGGTAAAATCATTTATTGCTAAAGATGCTATACATATTTAGTTACATGGTAGGTCAATAATGTACCATCATTATCAAGGTTTTGTTTTTGATTGTTGAATGTTTAGCTTTAGCAATACATTGGCTTGTAGTTTTTATGCTGTTTTTTCTGTTCTTTTTTTATCTAAGTTAGTACAGTTTGTAGTACTGATCAAATTTTCTATTCTATCTTGATTCAGAAAATGGACATGGGACCATGCCCAAAGGTCCACTCTTTGCCGCTGAGGAAAGAGTATCCTTTTTAAATCTTATTGCTACGTATTAATTGTTCTGTTGTGGCTTAACTTTGTTAGTTATGTATGACTTGGACTCTCTTGAGACCTGGAGTACATCAATAGGTACTATGTTCTAGTACATTTTGGAAGGGGGGGTCTTACCAAGTTGCTCAGATTGGGTGCAAGGGTTGGATGTGGTTATATTTTATTTTTTGCTAGTTTACATATATATATATATATATATCATATCCTTCTAGCAGTCTCTAGTTTGAACATTGAAGTATTTGATATGTTTCCGATGTGTTAGAAGAAAAAAGAGTCAGAGTGGCATGCTGATGCACCATTGGCAGATGGCATATTATTGTGCTATCAAGCAGTAAGGTCTAGTAGTATATATTTGGTGGATTAACTCTTTCTAGATATGAAGAAGCCAGGGCAAAAGGTGTTGATAACTATGACAGAGAACTGGAAGATGCCATTGATAGACTCATTGTCGAGTGTGATAGGAAAATTGGCAGAGCTCTAAAGCGTCTTGAAGATGAGGATGCAAAAGCTGCTATTGCAATATCAGTTTCTGAGGTTACACAGGTGAGGCCAAATAAGTTAATGCAATTTCATTAGTTTTATCTGATGTTATTCTTTTTTTATTTGGATTTTTGAAAATTTTGACATTGCAGACGCCTGAAGTACTTGAGCTGTCTAAGCAGATAAAGGAGAAACTGAAGGAAGTTGATCAACATGGTACTGTATTTGAACTGACATATGAATTATTCCAGAATTAAGGCTTTGTTGTTGTGAGCTCTTTAACTGGGCTTAAGAATATATTTCATTTATGTTTTGTTTCATATCCTTGCAGTCAATAGGAGGCCTACTTATTGTCTTGTTGTTCGAATAAATCATGTTTTCTTTTTCTAAGGAATTCTTCTAAGGTGCCGTCCAATTGATTATTGAAGAGATTTAGTTGAATGGCTTGATATGTTCCATGGATTTATAGATTTTCATGTAGAGAGGCTGAACTATTTTGGTAGTTGAACTTGAATTTACCAGTGTGTTTTAGTCAATGCACTTGAATTTACCAGTAAAATATATTGAAAACTTGTGTTGTTCTGAAAAAAGGAGTGCGAACTACAATTTTATTGTTTGCTTAAAATTCTTAATCGCTTATTACTTTTCTATTGTCTGCACTTTGTTTGTAATTACTGATTGCAACGGAAGCCTTTTATTAGAATTTCCACTTATGCATGGATGCTTACAAGCCTTTAATTAGATTTCCACTGTTACATGTTTACCTTTATTATACAGATCTTGAAGGCAAGACAGATCTTAAGATTCGAGTTCTGGAAGAAGTAGAAGAGCTTCGAACTAAAAGAGCAGACAAGCAGGTAGATCATAGTTTTTAAAGGTTTAGGAATTAAACAATGAAAATATTAATGCTATAGAGCAGTATTTCTTGATTTGAGCTGTGGTGGAAGTTCCACAATCTTGATTCTTTTTGATCTTTGAACATGCAACATTTTTTTATTGTGATAGTCAATGCTGCTTTTGGATGCATTCAACAAAGATAGAGCATCCCTGCCTCAACCCCTGCCAAATCCTCCAACAGTGGCACCTTTGCCTGTGCCTGCACCTGATCCTCATACACAGGAGATGATAAATGAGAAGCTAAAGAAAGCCGAAGATCTTGGTAAAGTATTTCTTATCAGACTGCTTAATGATCCCTCAACTTAAAAAAGTTATACTACAATGCTAGTAGATTGATTTATAAACTGATCAGTAGCAATCTCCTAGTTAGTTGTTGTTGAGATTAACAATTTGACCATTTATTGCTCTTGTTCTCTGCATTTCTGTCTTTTTTTTTTTCTCATAGAAACTATTATTCAAGATACGTTTGTCCTTGAACTTCAAGAGTGCTTTTTGCTATAGTTGCAAAGGGAGTGGCAACATTTATTGAGTATAAAAATAGTATTTTAAGTTATTTGTAATTTAAGAACAGTTCCTACCTTCCACCACACCAATTGATGAGTTGAATTCAGAGTATATTCCTTGAGGTTGGGATTATGTTTGTTATTTTCTTTTTTAGTAATTTGTAAATATATCAAACTGTGTTGTTTTGCTTTACTTTATTTTGTTGGCTGCCTAGTTTTGCTTAATTGTAGTTCTCTAAGCTTTTTCTTTATTGTTTAGGTGAGAAGGGAATGGTGGATGAAGCTCAAAAAGCATTGGAAGAAGCTGAAGCACTGAAGAAGGTTTTCAATGAGTTTTGGCCTATTCCTTTATTCCTTGGATTTTTTCCTATATTTTATTTCAATTTTTGTCCTAATTAATCTACGCAAAATTTAAAAAAAAAACCTTTGTTGTTTCCTTTTTTCTGCCTTTTTTAGGGGATAAATATAACTTGTGTATACTGGTTTTTCCTTCTCTTTTCAGCTGCCTGCTAGACAGGAGCCTGTTCTTGATTCCTCAAAGTACACAGCTGCTGATGTCCGCATTGTGAGTCCATTTTCCTTTCTGAACCAAACACTTAAAGGCCCTTTAGTAAATCAAAGCTAACAACTTTGAAATGATAATGAAGAACTAAAGCACACAATGTAAAATGAAAACTGGAAGGTGGATGCTGTTCAAAACCACAGCACAAAACTTGGACGAAGTTTGGTATGAAAAACTAGGTCTTGTGCATCCTGCCTAGAATAATTGGCATGCTTGTAAGTATAAAGATGCACATACAGGCCCAGACTTCCTGAAATCAGTTTAATGCTTGGCTAGATAAGCAACTTATAATCAGAACATTACAGGGCAAAATATTTAAGTAATAAAGATAGGAGTTTGACATGAGATATGCGAGTTTGCTGCTTCTTCTTGTTTTCTGAAACTTAAACATTTGTAAGGTAGAACTATGTTTGATTTCACTTTTGGATACGAAGAAGTCTATATTCTGAGATAGATATGATGTGTATATTGGTATGATGATTTTGATGCTGAGTGTATTTTGTGGAGAAAAATAGTGAGTATTATCATTCAGAATTACTGTTTCTTCCAATGGCTACTGTCTTAGTTCTTCCTAATTTGTATCTTGGATAACTTATATGAAGATGTCAGAACATGCTATAGTGTTCTAATATTATAGGATAAGGCGCATGGTAGGCTCATGGGAAGTTTTCTACACGATTCCATTCAGTTCGATGATTCAAATTAGCCCTTCATGATATGGTGCATTAGATGTTGATTTTTTTTTTCATCTGCTGATCTGATCTAACCTTTCCTAATTAACCCTTTGAATTGCAATGTTTGTACAGACTGATCAAAAGCTCCGTGTTTGTGACATTTGTGGAGCATTTTTAAGTGTTTATGATAGGTAAATCTTGATTCTGTCTCTCCTAGTTATTATGATGTTATTTTCGCTTGTCTTGAGGGCTTAAAAAATGAGCATTTGGGGTTTCAAGTGCTTCAGCTTTTGACCCAACAATTATACCTCCTTGTTACCAGCAGGCTTTTGGGCCCAGTTTTACGAGGATAACTTTTGCAGCTACATAATGTGCGTCTTTTTCTGTTTTACTTGCTTGTAGATCATGCGAGATGATAAATTATTAGGAAGCTATTCAATGCTTGTCTCTTCTATATTTCTATCTTCTTGGTGAATTGTTTTGACTTTTCATTTTTTCCTTTCAGTGACCGACGTTTAGCAGATCATTTCGGAGGCAAGCTTCATTTAGGTTATATACAAATCCGTGATAAACTAGCAGAGCTTCGGGTAAGATTATTTATTTACTCACCAGTGTCTAAGCTTTGGATCTTTTTTAAAAAGCATTTTTAATATAAATCAATATGAGTAGGGACTGCCAAGATGTTCAATTCGCAAGCTCACTTGCAACTTTTTCTGATCTGAGTGTCAACTGTTGTGTTTTAATTAATAAAATGTGATTTGAATGCTTTTGTATAGTGAGTTGAATGAATAAATCAAATAGTTGCATTTGTGCGGAGTAGGATAGATTTATTCTTTTATGCATCTTGTGTTGAGACATCCTTAAGTTGGTGTTGTGAATATGTTGGTTCAGGTGCTGGTATAATGTTTCACATTCTTCTATACCGATTCTCAGTTAGTGAGCCCTCTGTGAGTTTTTCTAACCTCAGAGATGAATAATACCCTCCCATTTTCTAATCTTTCTGGTTATAATCTAGATATTGAACTCTGAAAAACAGAGTATTTTTCCATAGATGCACCTGTGCATATTGGACTTGAAATTCGTTAGATATGACATTTTAGTTAGATCTGACATATTATGCTAGTTATGATTAAAACACATGATGCACCTGTTGTAACGAAACAATTAATATATGAAAGAAAAAGAGTGGAGGAGGAGGAAGTAGAAGAAGAGGAAATTTGTCTTCTACAAACCTAAAGTAGAACTCTTTCCTTATGTCACTGGCTTGGACTAACAAAAATGAAACAAGAGTTGCAAAATAATTTAGAATTGCATGCACCACGATATTTGCACTTTGGTGACATATAATAAATTTAGTGCTGGTTTCCAAACTTATTTCTGTAGTTCTGTTCCTTTTCACTACTAAGAAGATGCAGATGTTGGTGAGAGGGTGCATGGTGTTTTCATTTTTGTTGCATAACTAATTATATGAGGCATTTGGAGGAGTTGGTATTAGAGCAGGTCGTACCTGCTTTACTTTGTGATTTTTGCTTTAATGGTTTAAGGGTTGCTCTTTTATGCATAGCCTTAGAAAATTTTCTGGATAGTCCTTGTGGTAAGTATATAAAAAATTGGAGTGGCATTTCATGCTATTCGAAAAATGGTTTCAGTAGCGCTTTCTTGGTAATTATTTTTGTCAGGAAGAAAGAAACAAGAGACGCAAAGTTGATCAATATGATGATAGAAGGTAATCCGTACTATTTTTCTTTTCATTTTGGTTTTTCTTTTCTCTTGTTTGGAAAAGGGGCCGGGCGAGATGGTTCAGTTTTATTTCATAGTGCTCATCTAATATTTCTATATTGCTGATGAAATAGATCAAAGGAACGAAGTAGGGATCATGACAGAGAACCTAGTCGGGATCTTGACCGAGGAGATAGCCATGACCGAGGGAGGGATTATGACCGTAAGAGCAGGGACCGGGACAGGTATTATGAGCGAGATCAAGGATATGATCGGGACCGTGAGAGAGATTATGAGCGCACACGCAGTTATGATTCAAGAGGCCATCGCAGGTCTCGTTCTCGGTCTTGGGAACGTTCCAGGGATTATGATCGACACAGGTACTTTTGTATAGGTCTAATATTTCCTTTCAACTTACGCGTGAAATCACTTGAAAATTTTGAAACAATGATTCAGTATTCTTAATTTTCAATGAACAGTCACAAGGAGCTTGGCTTTAGTATTAGTGTAGATTATGATACATAAACTTTTCATTTCTTATTTTGATTATCTTTAATTCCTTCTTTTTTTGATGTTCATGGTTGGAAGGGTTTTTTGTAATTATTCTTTAAATGGTCTTTCTCTTTCAGGCGCGATCGATACTAGATGATTGTTGTTGCTATTATCAAGTGGATGGATATGGAATTGATGTTGTTTAGGTCAGTGGTGAATTTAGGATTGATAATTAATTGTGTGCTTGCTCTGATGCTTTTGACGGAGCGTGGTAGTTTCTACCATTTTGCTGGATCTATGGACTGCCCAGAGTTTTTTTTTTTTTTTAATATGCCTCAAAGATTTTTCTTGACTAATATTTGTAAGAGGTTTGGTGTGGGTTACTTTGTGTTAAAATTATCTTTACTAATCGGTGCTGTGAATCTTCAGTCTTTGGCTCAATAGTTTTAAACCGCTCTTTATGCCTCTTGTTCTTTAGACAAAAAAAAAAAAGCCAATGTGGGAAATTAAGTGTATTTGCCAATAGATTTTTGAAGTTGAATTAACTGATTTCTCCGCATTCTTTAACTACACTCCCCCTCCTCCCAACATTAACAATGAAAGGAAAGTGAAGGAAGTAAGGATTTTTAAAGGAAAATAAATTTTATATGTATTTTTGTTTGGATAGATAAAATTAATAAATAAATAAATAAAAAGAAAGAAAATGAATTGTAAGAACTATTGTTTATTGTTTGATTAAGGAGTGAAAATGAAAAGATCAAATATAATATATTTTTTTAATTATAATCTTTTTATTTTTTTGAAATAACATAATATTAAATTAAGATGTAAAATAATACGCAATATTTTTTAATTATAAAAAATTAAAATTTTTTAAAAAATTTATTATAAAATGTAAAAATCAAATATTTACAATTTTATCTACAATTAATGATACATTTATTTAAATAAATTTGGCAAATATATTATTTGACTAGGCAAATGATAAATAATATTGATCTAAGATGTCATTTTGATTTTTTTAAATCGGTACATTCATTATTTTTTGATTATATATATATATATTAATTTATGTATTAAAACCCTAATACGAAATTAAATAATTTTTGTTTTTTATTTTATTTTTTGTTAGGGGCAAGTAAATATATTTTTTAGATTAGGAGTTTATGAAGGGTTGTTGGAAAATTTCCCACATCTACACTTGGCATCAGTATATCCAGATTCTTATGCAATTATTATTGCCTCTGAGCAAACAAACCTGAAGAATTTCATTTTCGAATTTCATTACAAACAACCAAATTCAAACCTGATGTAACATAATATGTAATATCATTTCACAAACTAGTTATGTCATAATTGAATTTATTTTATCTATTTATAATCATTTTGTCTATTTCTTGCAACGTGATAATGAGCATACAATCAAACTACTAGTACATTACAATGTTCTTCAGAATGATATTTCAATTTGAAAACTTCAAATTTCGACATGGAAACCAGAATTGTAGTACGTACAAGCCTAAACTTGCCTTCCGGCGGCATCGGCGACGAAAGGTAAATAAGGAGTCCGACCTAAAATACTCCAAACCACTCCATAAACAAAACACAGAAGACTAAACACGAAAACCCCAGTATGTCCCCACACCATCAACCGGTACCCCAACCCCGCCCGACCTGGATTCAATATCCGGGTCAACAACAACGGCACCACCAGCAGCACATCCAATGTCACAGCCTGCATCGAATTGAACCTCACGTAATGGCTGAGACTCGGGTTCCGAACCAACCCCAGGTACAATGCAAAGAAGGCCACGAAGCTGGCGTATGGGACGGATTTGTAGAGGCTTAGGAGTGGTAAAAGGGGGTCGAAAAGGGTACCCAATTGAGGGTATTGGATGAACAGGTAGCGGCCGTATTGGAGGGAGTTGAAGAACGGGAGAGCGTAGGCGGCGGCTGAGATTAGGCGATCAATGGCCGGAGTAGGGTTCAGTGACATGCGGGTGATGGTGGGTCGTCTTGAAAATCGGACATTGGATTTTGGTTGGTTTTGAAAGGTGAAATTGAGGAAGGGTTTTGGGGCTAAAGGATAAAATTTTGGGGTTAAGTGTAGAGAGCAACAAAGAGACGCCATTTTGCTTTTGGGAGTTCCAACTATTTCAGTTCAGTATGTGAACTGCGAGTTTTAGGGTATCGTTTAGATTTGTGTGTTTTTTTTAATTACATATTTAGTCATTTAATTTTAGACATTTTTATTTTGGTCACTCTACTATAAAAAAAATTATGATTTTATCACTAACATTTGTAATATTGTTTTTATCACCCAACAATTAATCTTTAACAGTATATTAATATGTTAAATTAGGTCATTTATTAAATATTTAGTGCTTAATCTAACATGTCACGTGATATTGATAACGTGATATTAAAAATTTTTTTAAAAATTGAAAATTTAAAAATAACAAATTATATTTTTTGGCATTAACTTTCCAAGAATTTTTATTATGGTTATTTAATTTTAAAAATTTTACAATTTAATTATTAATATTTTGGTTTTTGTTGTCAATGATTCATTATCATTATGAATTTATAATTATTTAAGCATCAATATTTGTAAAATTTAATGTAATAAATTATTTTATTATTTATAGTACTTGTATTTAAATATATTAAGATAATACTGAATAAATTTTCAAATTATATAAAAAATTAAAATAACCATTCTATATTGAAGGTTAAATAAAAGAAATTCGCAAATAAGGCATAATAAAACAAAATTTAGTATTTGATTGAAATATACAAGATAATCTTTATAGTTTGTCAAATTGTCTTCAATATTTGAAACTTTTACTCCATTAAAAAAATTATCGTTATGCCTGCATTTTTCTAATTAAGGTTATTAATATCGGCTTAAAAATGTTTCAATTTTTTTTAAAATATGTTACATACCGGTACAAATGATTTTTGTATATTATTTCAAAATTTTCATTTTAATATAAATATATTTATAAATATATATATGAATTTATACATTATAATATTATTAATAATCTACAAAATAAATATGTAATATCTTCAAAAATCAAATAAATAAGTTTAAAAGTATTAAAATAATATCATTAATTTTTTATGATATTTTTAAATATTTAATCTGATCATTGATATTTAAATAAATATTTTTTATGTAAATATTAATATAAAAATAAAGAGATAAAAAAAAAAAAAACTTTGGCTTCACAATTGTTAAATTGTAGAAATGAAGTACAATTACTTATTTAAAAAATATTAAAATACTTATAAAGTTTAGTTTAAAAAATATATATAAAAGAAAATTAATTACAATAAAAAATAAAAAATTTAACTTTTAAGTGTTATTTGTCAATTAATTTATTTTTATTAAATTAAAAGTAATTAAATAACAAAAACTATATTAAAAAACATATTTTAAATTTACGTATCCATCAAAATAAATAAATTAATTAAAATTTATCAAAATCAACTAAAATTAATGAAAATAACTAGTATTATGTAATACTAAATTTAATAAAAAACATCTTTAAATGTATGATATTTTGATATAATTAAAATGTGCCGACCGAGAAATTAATAACAATGTTTCTGATATCAAAGAAGTTCCTCACGGTGAAGCTGCCGGCCCACAGATATCATTATCCCAATAGCCCTACCAAGCCTTAGGAAGGTTCCAAGCAGCCACGATTGCAAAGCAAACGCCAGAAAAAAATAATTAGCATACAAAAATTAAAAAATCATTTTTGAAACACGCACTTACAAGCATGTATATATATAATATTAATGTAATAAATATCTGTCATGTTTTAAGCTAAAATTTAATCAAATATAGATAGTGATGGAGTAAAAAAATCGACTTAATGAGAGTTTAATTTAAATTATATAAAATAATAACTATAATAATAATAAAAACATAAAAATTTGTATATATTTTAATTGTTAAAAATTTTACAATTATTTTTTTTTTGGCATTTAAAAAGTGTTACATAATAATTTTGTTATCAATATATTTAAATACGTTTTTTTTTTCAATATATATAATTAAACTATTATTTAATAATTGATCTCGATTATCAAAATGACTCTTTAAGATATTCTTCACTAAATAGAAGTAAAAGGAATAAATTAATTAAATTGATTATTGACCCATCTATATTTTATAAATTCTGCTCTTTTTCTTTGGTTTTATAGAACTAATACGTTACAATAATTATATCCAAGGGAAAGAAAATACCATAAAATGAACTAAATTAAATTAAATAAAAAAATGTAAACCAATTTGTGAAAAAAATTAATAATACTGATAAAGGTAGTTGATATAATTTTACACTGAAAAATATAAAAAAAAATCATATATATATATGAATATATATATAACCTGAAAAATTATATATATATATATATATAATAAAATTCATGGAAGAATGAGGGCAAAACTCAAAATAAGAATAAAAAAATAAAAAATAGAGATGCAATTATAAGAAAAATAAAATAAAATCATAAACCTTTAATGACTAAATTAAAAAAAAAAAAGCTATTATTAAATCGAAAATGCCAAAGAAAAAAAAATGACAATGAAAGAAACCTAAAAAAAAAAAAAAGCGAAAAGAGAATGAACTACAAACAATCAAAAGATATCATTCATTGTCGAGAATTGGGCCTCTTCCGAGTTCTGTTCCATCACTTGTAATCTACTCATACAACAAACTGCTAACTTTACTTATTTTTGAAAATTAAATTTTTATTAAAAAAAAAAAACCCAAGTCAAGAAACTTGCTAGAAGAAAAAAAAATCAAGAAACCAACTATCATAAATTTGAAATAATTTATTTGAGTAATCTCTTCAATCAAACAAAAAATTATTATCCTAATTATCCCTGCAATTAAAAAAAATGATAATTCATATATTTTTCTAATTTATTTTCTACTATCAAAAACAAATCCGTTCTCTCCTGAAAAATAAAAATTCCATAAAAATTAATGAAAAACCATGGGCGGATTCAAATGGTGTGGAGGGGTGTTTTCAAAATTGAAAAATTAAAAAAAAAAGTTTAAATAAAATTTTTTTCTACACACTATCAAATTTTTTTTGGAAACCTAAAAATTAAAAAATAAAAAAACTTTATTGTAAAATTTTCCTCTAACATCTTCAAAATTATTTCCTAGACTAAAATTGATAAATCCGTTAGTAATATTTTATATATACTATAAGTAAATATTTTCCAAAAAAATCCTTAATCCATAAAAATTATTGAACCAAACAAATTAGACCTGCCAATGGCAAAAAAAAAAAAAAAAAAAAGCCTGCCAATTTACAATTAGAGAAGGTGACATAAAATTAAAAAAATATAAAAATGATATGAATTAAATTTTAGCAATAATCATATATGAATTTAATTAAAAAAATAAATTACATATTTTTTGTATTAACATAAATTATTACAACTAATTTTTAGATAAAATACAATCTAAATATATAAATTATCAATATTTTATACAAATACAAAAACAAAAATTACTAGCCAATTTCGTTCTACTATATCATTATAACTCGAGGCAAGTCTTTTTAGACGTTGGAACACCTCTATTATTGATCGATATATTTTTTAATTTAAATTTAAATTTAATTAACTTTTATAATCACTTTTTTAAAAAATAAAATTTGAATCCCAACCACTATGACACCTTTTCTTATTTTCAATTACCTAAAAAAAATCGGTGCTTTTACGAAGAAGACAAAAAGAGTTCAATCTATCATGTTCTTTTCGTGGTTGGTTTTTCTATCAAGTGAACTCCCAAAGTCCACGTCTGTTTAGTACTTATTGTTTGTATAGTGTCTACTTGGCATGCCCTTTTCCATTAATCACCTCTTCCAAGCTCATATGTTTTTAATGACAGTAGCATTTATCTATGATACTTGGACACCAAGGTAATTGCTATAAAACTGCCATGCACAAAATTTCGGACCTATTAACCTACCAAAGCAGTTTTCAAGCTAGAGAAACAGTTTCAGCCTTAAGGAAGGAAAACATGGAGGTGGAGCGAGTCCAAGCTATTGCTTTATCATCTCTAACTAACGACAATATCCCAAAAGAGTTTATTCGACCAGAGGATGAGCAACCTGCAATCACAACATTCCATGGTCCGGTCCCTGAAATCCCTGTCATCGATCTCAACGACCATGATCAGGGAAATGTTGTCCGATTGATTGCCAATGCAAGCAGGGATTGGGGGATATTTCAGGTTATGAACCACGGGATACCCTTTGACCTGATTGGAAGGTTGCAACAAGTTGGCAAGGAGTTTTTTGATCTACCACAGGAAGAGAAAGAAGTGTATGCCAAGCCAGCTGGTGCACAGACCATTGAAGGGTATGGAAGCAAACTTGCAAAAGATCTTAAAGGAAAGAAGAATTGGGCTGATCACCTTTTTCACAGGATATGGCCTCCTTCATGTATTAACTATCAGTTCTGGCCCAAAAATCCCCCTTCTTACAGGTTATTTGGTTGCCCCTTCCAAGTAACATTTTCATTTTCTTAGGTTAAATGGTTTGTTGCAGTCTTTTGACTTGGTTTGGTATATTATGAGATAATTTTCATACACAATTTTATTCAGATAATTACAGTGTTGGAATATATATGTACATATTATATCCTTTGCTTTAAGTTTAATATTTATATGGAAAATAAATATAAGATTAATAGTGTGTTTAATTTGGTGGCAGAGAAGTAAACGAGGAGTACGCTGAAAAGATGAGAAGGGTAGTGGATAAGCTGTTGAAATGCCTGTCACTGGGGCTGGGGATTGAAGCAGATGTGCTTAAAGAAGGAGCAGGAGGTGAGGAGATCGAGTATTTGATGAAGATAAACTACTATCCGCCATGTCCACGTCCTGATCTAACTCTTGGGGTGGCTTCCCACACTGATATTTCTACCATAACTGTTTTGGTGCCCAACGAGGTCCCTGGATTGCAAGTCTTCAAGGATGGCCTTTGGATCGATGCCAAATACATCCCTGGAGCCCTCATTATTCACATAGGCGACCAGATTGAGGTCATTTCTTTTTTATTATTCATTTAATACTATCCGTTACTTAATTTGGAAACTTAGTATTCCCGTCTATTGTATTTATATTCTAGTTTATTTAATTTTATGTTTTTTTTAATAGTTTTTAACGTATTTGGTGTTAATTTAACGATGCAGATACTAAGCAATGGAAAGTACAAGGCAGTGCTGCACAGAACCACAGTAGACAAGGAGAAAACAAGGATGTCATGGCCCGTTTTCTTGGAGCCGCCCGGTGAATTTGTGGTTGGGCCCCTTCCTCAGCTTGTTGATGAGCATAATCCCCCCAAATATAAGCCCAAGAAATTCAAGGACTATAGTTATTGTAAACTTAACAAGCTACCCCTGTGATTGCAAGCTCTACCAATAAAAAAAATAATTATAATTATTATTATATTTGCTTTGGCTACCACCACCCATGAAAAGTCGTTTTCATGAGTCATACGGTTATAAAAATGGTTTTATCAAGCCTGCTGATAGTCTGATATGATGAATGAAATAACAATTTCCTGTGTACTTCGGAGACATCAATAAATACATATAAAAATTGCATTGCATTGCATTCTTTGGGACATCCCTCTATGAAATCAAGTTTGATGAAAATGGCTCAACTAGAAGTATATAGCGTCGTGGAATGCTGTGGCATCAGGTTCCGGGGTGGAGGAGATTGAGCTATTTTACGTCTTTTTGGTTATGGGGTTTGTTGACTGGGAGATTTGGAAGGCACCAACAACAATACCGCAACCTTGCAATGGGAAAAAAATAGTAAAATATGCACATCTTGAAATGAATATTGGAATTGTTTGGCATCAGAATTTATTCATCATTGCTAAATTCAACTCTTGCAGCAGAATTTATTCATCATTGTTTGGCAGCAGAATTTGTCGGAGAAAACTTGATTAACATTTATTATCTATAAATATTAAATATTTTGATCCAAACTTAGTCTAAAAATCATGTACAGAGCTCGGGTGGAGCTAATATCGATGACAAATACTTCAATTCATTATATTTATTTTTAATAATTTTTTAATTAATCTAAATTTTATAGCAGAAAATGTATCAATTAAAAATTAAAATTTGTATCCAATATATATCAATTAAAATGTTTTGAATCCAATACATGAACATATATAAAATCTAAAATATTTTTATTCCATTAATTAAATCAAAATATATTTCTATTAAAATTTTAAATCCATTTCGTTTCCGCGGCACAAATTAAGAACTGAATTAAAAAAAAAAAAATCAAACTAAGAGCGTGATAAAGAAAAAAAGTTATTGGTAGCTATACATTTCAACAGGGCGCCAAACCAAAAGACAAAGTACTGAAGTTCCGGAAAAAAAAATTGGCTCGTGAAATCAAAAGATGGAATTGGATGAATGGGAGTTAAGCGCTGAAGAATTGGATTCTCTTGAAAGAGACGCTCTCCAGAAGATCTCTCAGCAACGCTCTTCTTCGTCCAATCAACAACCCATCGTCCACTCTCTATCTCAAAAGGCAACTTCTATCTTTTCTTTTTCATTTTCTGGGTGTTCATTCGTTTTTCTTTTGGATTATGATTTAGGGTTTCTTTTCATTTTATGGGTTTTCATTTTTTTTTTCATTTATGATTATGATTCAGGCTGAAGCTTCGTCCAGAACCTTGCCTTCATCAATTGCGCCAAAAACAAACCCTGGTTAGTTTCTTTCTTTTCATTGTGTTCTTGTTACTTATATTATTATATATAAATATAAAACGCTTGCATTTCTGTCCAGCATCTGATCAATGCTCTAAGGAACAAGTACCAAAGCTCACTGTCAAATTTATTCTCCACGCCACTGGAAACATTGCTGCAAAATTTCCCTATAACCAGGCAAACAAAAAATTGCTTATTTGAGTCACGTCACTGTCTCCTCAGTGTGAGACTGCTTTTACATATACACTTACCCTCTATGCTTTTATGTTTACTTAGGTTTTAGTTGATGCGTTCCGTAAGATCCCTAAAGCCACTTGGAATGCAAAAGAAAGGTTCCAGCTTTCACTCTCAATTTATGTCTGCCATATTTTGAAAATTATGACTCTCTGGTTGTTTAATTTTCTCTGACTTTCATGTAAATTCAGCCAACCTGATCGGATGCTGTTGAACCTGCAGATTATGGATGTTCCCTCTGTCTTCTTTGCCATCGGCTGAAAAGGTTCTTTGTGAAATACGTGGTTGTAACGTTGAGGTCATAACTAATGCCATTTTGTTTTTCTCACATTAAGAATACACTACCTTGTTTCTAAATTACAGAGTTTGACTTAAATATGGCTCAATATTTCTTGTGATGTTAGGTAGAGAATTTACATCCCTTGGTGCAGCGTGCTATTGCTGCTGCCTCTGCACTCCCAGATCTTCAAGGTAAAATTGGCTTCTATAAATTGGTTTGTGATATTTATGTAAGAATGTTTCCTTGCCAGCTTTCTTTGTTAGACCATTACTCTTTACTTGTTGCATACATTTGAATTCCCTATTTGCATTTACTTTTATTCAATTTTGGAGTTTGTATTTTTCCCCTTGTTTCTTGGCTTCTTCCTTTTTTTTTTTTTTTTTCTTTTTCCCAAGAGTGGTATGACAGGATTCCAAGCTCTATTGAGTCAAAGCTTCTGCCATTTCAGCGAGATGGTGTTAGGTATGTAATAACTATGGATATTTTTCCATATCAAACTGTTGCTTTGTAATGTTCATGAATTATAGTCTTCTCTAAGAAAATATGAACTTTTACCTTCTCATTCTTTGATCTTATGTCTATGATGCTTTTACTAGAGTTTATTCTTTTTATCAGGTTTGTGTTGCAACATGGAGGACGTGCGCTTCTAGGTGACGAAATGGGATTAGGAAAGACTTTACAGGCAAATAATTATTTGATGATTTTTTTAAAAATAATTTCAGATGGTCAATGTGTTGATAACGGGCAAATTTGTTCATGGGAGGGCATTGGAATCTTCTGTTTTATGTAGCATAATATATAACTTTTAACTTTTATGATTGGTCATTTTGCATTTATTACACCAGCCATGAATCTTTAACTTTTTTCTTTTGAAATTCTACAACTCATCTACTGTTGCTAGCTTTAAATATAATTATTGTCTTTCACTTAAGGAATACTATGTCACAATTCTTGCACATGTTTATCATTTTCCTGGGGACCAAACAACCTATAATAGCAAGTTTTATCAAGGAGATACTTTGGTGTTTGACAACATGCACTTAATTGTTTGGAGTTTGATGTTAAGTACTAAAAAGTTGTGTTTTGATCATAAAAACTAGAATCAACTTTGCAAAGATCAAGTTACATCAACATTCTTTGAAAGTTTAACAAAAAGAACCTAGTTTATTACTTTATGTTTTATTTATTTTTGGTTTTCTGCTGCATATTAAATCCTTATGGCCTGGCAGGCTATTGCTGTTGCTGCATGCATTCGTGACTCCTGGCCTGTTCTTATACTTGCACCATCTTCTTTGCGTTTGCATTGGGCTTCAGTAAGTGCTCATCATCTTCATGTTTAAGTTTTTTGGGAAAGTTTTTTTTTCTCTATTTTTTGGGGAAAATGCTTATACTTTTTCTGTCATGCAGATGATTCAACAATGGCTGAATATTCCTCCATCGGATATAGTTGTATGTTATCTCAATTCCTTTTCAAGCTTCTTTGTTACTTTTACGATGTGGGAAAAAAGCAAAGAAAAACTGGAAAATATTAACATTTGTAGGTTATTTTCTCCCAACCGGGTGGGTCAAACAGAGGTGGATTCACAATATTATCCTCAAATAGAAAGGGTGGTATTCATCTTGATGGCCTCTTCAACATCATCTCCTATGATTTGGTAGCTAAACTAGAAAATTTATTAATGGCATCAGAGTTCAAGGCAAGTACAATATATTTTTTTCCATTTGAGTTTTATACTTTTCCATATGTTGTTATTATCACCTTGCATCCATTGTCTGTAAGTAACGGATAATTGAGCAAAGACATAGTTTGAAATGGAGAAATTAATGCGATGAATAGAAGATTTAAGATAGTCAACTTCAAAATGGTGTCTAAACTGCCTTTTAGTTGAAAACATGTGAATGAAAAGAGTTTAGAATGGTGAGATGGAGGTCAAAAATTTAAGAAAATGTGGAAACTGAAAACAAATTAAAAAATTCCAAAAATTATAAAGCGCATTGTATTATTCAATCTCTGGTGATGATAGTGTGCTTTGATTGTATATATTTACTTATACTGTATCTGACATTATGATGTTATGGATCAACAAAAATGATCCCAAATCATAAAGATGATAACCACTCCCTTTCTGAATAGTAACAATTAATTTTAAACTAAATGATCTTAGTTTATTTATAAAAAATGAAAATGACAGAAAGAATATCTTATATTTTATAATGATCTTAGCTTATTCATGTTAGAGATTTTATATTTTCTGGAAAGGCCTTAGGACACGTTATATTTGGTGAACAGTTTAACTAAACGGATTTGTGGAAAACCTTGGTTGTTTGTATTCGTTGTGAATTCACATTTGTGTGTTTGAGTACATTACTCTTGCATGAAGGCTGAAGCTTATAGATTTCCTGTTTTCATGGTAATTTTCCTTGTTCGCATATGCTTCTACTAATGATTTTTTGCCCTTTTTGTAGGTTGTGATTGCTGATGAATCTCACTTTTTGAAAAATGCTCAAGCAAAAAGGACAACTGCTTCCCTTCCCGTTATAAAGGTATTTCTCTTTTGATAAATGATGAATTGGGGCTTAAATCTGCTTTATTATTGACTATATTCACACTTGAATATATTGTGAATTCTTTAATTTGCTGAGAGAAATTATTTACCTTAAGCCACTATAGATACTTAGGTTTTCAAAATGCTCCAGTTTTTCTGGTTTACTGAATATAGTAGATAAGAATTCATTATGGATACATAAAAGGCCAGATCAACTCTGTTTCACCTTTAGGTACATATGACCAATCACCAGGCTGGGTGGGATGAAGCAAGCAGTAAGAAATTCACCAAGTAGAACAGAAAATTGCTTAGGTATAATATCGAATGAGATTGCATGATCCTTAATATGGATGAAAAGCAACATGCAGGAATAATAATAATAATCAGCTAAAAGTGTTAATAACAATTTTAGTGCATCTTTGATTCCTTTTAGCGTTTCTTAGTGTCACTTTTGGTTGAAATTTCAGAAAGCTCAGTATGCAATATTGCTTAGTGGAACTCCAGCTTTATCCCGACCAATCGAGCTGTTCAAGCAGGTGCTCTAAATGTTATCCAGGAAATACAGTTTGCAAGATTTAGAGCTTTCTGAAGTTGTATTGTAGTAATTTTGTGGAAATTTTTGTACAATTTGGCAGTTGGAAGCCTTGTATCCTAATGTATATAGAAAAGTTTACGAGTATGGTGAACGTTATTGTAAAGGCGTAAGTGACATTCTTCTAAGGTTGACAGATCTTCAATGTTTCAGGATTGCCATTACATTAAGTATTGAACTACATTTTTTCTTGTTCTACCAATCTTTCAGGGAATATTTGGAACTTATCAAGGTGCTAGTAACCATGAAGAATTGCACAATTTGATGAAGGCTACAGTCATGATCCGCAGGCTTAAGAAGGATGTTCTTTGTCAGCTTCCCATGAAGCGTAGGCAACAGGTACAGATATATGCTAATGTTCTGTTGTCTAATCTTCTTTTTCAGCTTGCTTGCCCCACTTACTGAGCTTCATATTGAATATTTTAATCATAGCAATTGATGCATTTTGCATGTAATCAATTATATTATATTTTTCTTGTCTATAGAAGTAGAAGAAGTGGCAATTGTTGCTGAAATCATCAGCAATTTATAGGACTACATCACTACAACAAACATTTTGAAATTGAATCAATAAGATTAATGATGCAGCAATCTGGTGCTTCAGCATTGACATTTAGAAACTTCCAAGACATGTATCCAACTCTCATGTAGCTGGTGGTCGGAATTAAGCATTGCTTCTTTTGCTCTTCTGGAAATTTGTTAAATCTCAGCATTTAGGATAAAAAGTTATTTTCTTTTGGCACCAAAAGAATGCTTAGTCAATCTTGTTCATAATATCCAATTTTTATTTCTCATCTGCAACCATTGATACACATGTATGCATGTACATTATACTATTGCATGAATGGTTTCTTGTATGGGGTTGATCTTTTATGTTACATTTTAACTTTTTAGTAATTCGAAACAAATTCTCAGGTGTTCCTAGAATTGACTGAAAAGGATATGAAACAGATCAGTTCTTTGTTTCGGGAGGTAAATTCAATCTGTAATAATTGTTTGTTAATTTGAATTTTCTCTAAATCAATGGTGGAATTGCTATTTTATCTATATCTTGAATTAAATTTGTTTGGCTTAATTTGTATATTACATGCTATTTTAACATTGATTTAGATTTGGTGAATCATGTAGTTCATATTTTTGTTGATAGATCAATAGTTCAATGTAGGCACCTAGTTTCTTACTATTTCAGGTTCCCATTTTATTTAGGTTCTGCTTGTATATGGATGTGCCCATAGTAGCTAATAATACTTTTTTTTGGATATCAGTGACTTCCTCATCATGTTTGACTTAATATATTTTAATCTTAATGTAATTCTTCTGAATTCTGAGGTGGAAATGCGTGTGTCACTTATTTGCATCAAGTGGGTTATTTTTGAAGGTTTTATAAAGGGGGATAGGGATCTAAAAGTGCCACCTAATGCCACTGTACTATTTGTAGTTGGAGGTGGTAAAGAGCAAAATCACAGCCTGCCAATCTGAAGAGGAGGTTCACTCACTCAAACTTATGCAGAAGAATCTCATAAATAAGGTATATATAACTGTTTTTTCTCATTTACTTTGAGTGGAAATGCCTATGCATGCGCAATTTCTTTTGTAGTATTGGCATCATTTTCATGTGAAGCTAGACTAAGTTCCTTGTGGCTCCATCCTCTTCCTCCAGATTTATACTGATTCTGCTCAAGTCAAGATCCCAGCAGTTCTAGATTATCTAGGAACTGTAATTGAGGTAAGTTTTATACCTGTCTTAACAAATCTGTGTACTTCTTAAAAGTATGCAGGAATCATTTTGTGTAAATAAGTATCAACATGATGAAAGATAGCTCAAATTATAGTAGTAAGCTTAATGCTTGTACTTTTTCTAATCGACCATGTTAACAGAAGCCTATTACTAGTACCACTTGAAGTTCCCAAGTGCAAATGTTGTAAAATTTTACATATAGACTAACAAGCCAGTTATTACTTGTGGAAAAAGTGAGATACAAGGCTATTAGCTTATGAGAATTTTCTTTGGTTGTGATTCTATGGTACCTTTTCATATTTGTTGGCAAATTAGCTTCCATGTTATGCCTTCAATCTGATGCTTGTGAATACTACTTGATGGAGATCTGAAATTCTTTCTTAAAACTGACTTAACTGGGGAAATCTGATATGTGGGTCTGCACTTGTTCTAGATAGTGAGTTAACTACCTCAAACTTGAAGAGGCAATAATCTGCTGCATGACATGTGTTTGCAATTATGATTCTCCAGTCTAAATAACCCTTATAATTTTTTCTCATGATGAATTTATTTACTTATTGGCTGTTACATATTTATTTGTTATAAGTAATTACTGCAGGCAGACTGCAAATTTCTAATATTTGCGCATCATCAGCCCATGATTGAAGGAATACTTCAGTTTCTTCTTGTAAGGCCAGTTAAATTCATCCTGAAATTTTCTCAAGATTTGACCAATTCTTATAAGATGTGCCAAACTTACAGAAGAAGAAAGTAGGTTGCATTCGAATTGATGGTACTACCCCTGCATCCTCAAGGCAAGCTTTGGTTAATGATTTTCAAGAGAAGGATGCTATCAAGGCAGCGGTGGTATGGCTCTTTTTTTTTTTCATGTAATTCTAATAAGTTTTATGTTTCTTCTCATTTATTTACAATGTAATTGAGAAAATATTTTTATGGAAAATGTGATTAAGTCCCAGTTTTCTTTTGCATTGCTGATTGCAGCTATCTATCAAAGCTGGAGGTGTTGGATTGACTTTAACAGCTGCAAGTACAGTTATCTTTGCAGAGTTGTCATGGACTCCAGGTGACCTGATTCAAGCTGAAGATCGTGCTCATAGGATTGGCCAGGTAAATCACAGGCCAGAGCAGTCATATCTGCTAGGAATATCATTTTGGACATTATGCAAATTATGCCAATAATATTTGTGTGATAAAAGCTGAACTTTGATGTGAACTTAAAATTTTGCAATTACATAAGATGAAAGTGATGTAGAACAGGCTTTAAAAAAAATCTTAAAGTCTCCACAATCTCAAAAAAGCACTTAAACTCTCAAATAATTCAAAATATTACTATCTGGTAAATCAAAACATAATACCTCATTACCTAAAATCTCAATATTCTTAGTCCTTATACATAGGTAAACCCTTAACTGTTGTAGAAACATAAAATACCAAATATAACCTTAAAGCCCTAATGCTTGGAAAATGCTAATTAATATAAAATAATCTAAATAATCTAATCTAAAAGATCCTTAATATATATTAAAATTAAAATTGAACCCCAAAATATAATAAAATAGCCAAATAAAATCGTAAATAATTTAAAATTTCGAATAGCTTTCCTCCCTTCTCCATTTAGTCATCTTGGGGGCTCATATATGATCCTTAACCCTTAGGTTTTTCACCAGAATGAAGAGCCCTACATCTAGCATTACTGAGTACCAGTCCTGCTAGACGTTCTGGTTAGGAGAGGATATTGATATGGCAATGATGCAAGATAGCAGAATACATAGGCTTTAATCCTGTTTAGGACTTTTTATTCCAAATTCTATACCGGTCTGAATGGACAGTGCAGGCAGGTTGTAAAAGACAAGAATTTCCTTGGTCTCCATTTGCTTGGTGCTTTTGCTTACTTTTTGCTATTTGTCCTTTGTTTTCAGCTCATTTTTTTAGTTTTTGCTTTTCACTTTCAATTGAGAAAAGCTAAAAGCAAATGGACCAACTAAATGGAGGCTTAAGGTTGTAATTGAATCACAAGAACTAGGTTTGGGATCTATATTAATAGCAATCTACTAATCTTACAGGGAAATAGCACTAATCTTCAGAAAAAAGTTGTTTTTCTATCATGTGTCTATCACATGTTGATAGTCCTGACTTTATGATTTGTACGTGTGATGATATTATGTCAGCTATACTTATCTGGAACAAGGTGAATTTGTTTAATTCTTGTTAGCGGATGTATTTGCTCAGTATCTTTTCTGTTTATTTTATTCTCTGACATGTGTGCCTTTATATTCTTAGGTATCTTCAGTGAATATATACTATCTGCTAGCGAATGACACAGTTGATGACATCATATGGTATGTGCTTGTGCTATCCCATTTGGTAATCTTGGTCTCTCTGGTATGCTGACACAGAGATGTTAATGGTGAATGATTATTAAATCTGATTTGCGGTTTACCTTTTAGGGATGTTGTTCAGCACAAATTGGAAAATCTGGGTCAGGTAATTTGCTTCTCTTTCTCTCAATCACACACATGCAGATACATAACAAATATATAATAAGGATTTAGGTGTTTCATAAAACTCTATTGATCTTAATTTCTTTTAGTTGGTAGACTGAACTCTAGTTATTTACGATTAGATGCTTGATGGCCACGAGAATACCTTGGAAGTTTCAGGCAACCAAGAACACAAAAGTCCAATAAAGCAGAAAACTATTGACCCCAGCCAAGAACAAAGAAGTCCAGGGAAGCAGAAAACTCTCCATTCTTTCATGAAGCGCTGTAACAACATCGATGATGAATATCAGTCTAAGCTCAAATATCCCAGGAACTGAGCAACCTACTCAAGTATGATCTACTCTTTCCCACTTTGCATAGCTACAGGCAGATGGACTCGTAAATTTTGTACTAATGAAACACATTAACCACTCAGTTAGCACTCTCTAATCATAATGTCATCTTTTACGGGTAATGTAAGATTCCTTGACATTACCATGGGAATAGAATCTATGGTCATATTTAATATATTTTTTAATATTTTTAGTTGACGGATTAAATTTATATAAGTATAAAATGTTTTAGTTTTACACATTTTTTTTAATCATCGATTCTAATGGATCAAAGAGGTAAGAGAGACAAGTTTAAAAAAAAGTTTAATCTCATTTTTTAATTAAATAGTAATTAAAGTTTAGTATTTTTAATTAGAAATGAGATTTTTTTTATATTAATGTGTGCCATGTGATTAAAAAAAAATCAAATTAGCATCTTAACGCATCAATAAAAAAGTGATACAACTGAGTTTAATTACAAAAGTTCAATATCGTAAAAAATGTAATTTGAACCAAATTAACCATATGAAGGTCCCGTTTATGGCAAATCTTTGTTCATTGCCTGCTAGTATGAAGCTAATGGTATATTTCAAATGATAAATTCAATATTCAAAATCAAAGTGCCCCCTTCCTTCATAAATTTCTCCTTCAACTTCCTGAGAAAAAAAAAAAAAAAACTGACTCAGGCACTCATGCTTTTGACTCTGAAGTGTGAGCTGCCTGTTGTCTGAGAATAATGCAAAAGAGGAAACAGGCTTCATTCAAATAATGGGTGTTGAAGCACATGTGAAGTGAATGAATGAACGAATGAATGGTGTGTGTTACTTGAGATAATGTTGTACAAGCAACACTGTAGAGCATCACTGCAGCTAATGGGTCGTCATTTTCTATATATAAAAAAGGAAAAACAAGTGGTGAAAGTACAATTTCAACTCTTCATGGATTTCCAGCTCCGCCCATAAGTAATATTGTGTGATAATTTGTCTCCATCAAACCAATGGTATCCATCCCCGTAATAATCAATAATCATGGTGATGTTGTGTTTCTTTTAGATTTTTCTTTAACTACATGAGAATCGGCATTCCTTTACTTTAAATATAATAATTTCAGATATACTATAATAATATGATATGAAAAAAATAATATAATTTAAAATTTTAATAAAAATTAAAAAATATATTTAATATTTGATATTTTAACATAAATTTTGATATATAATTTTTATATTTTACATATATTTAATGTGAAATAAATATAATATGAATGTATAAATTATCAAATTTATCGTAATTTTAAATATAAATATTTATTTATTTTTTTTAATTTTTTATTTAAAAAATTTCGAATTTAACTCTATAAATAAAGATAGGATATAGGTGCCACTTAACCCAAAATATTGTTTATTTATCTCCACTTTATTGGTATAACTACAAGAATCAATGTGCAAAGTAGTTAGGGTAGTCAGTTTTGTAGGGTATCCCTGGGATAAAGACAGAAAGCCATGTGTGGAGAGGACAAGGAACTTGGGGTTTGGAGCAAGAATCTAAAGGATTTGAAGTAGCAAGAGGAATCAAACAGCTATCACCATTTGAATCTATCAATTAGCATTGCACTGCATCCTTGTTGTTTTAATTTCCATGTTTGAAAAAGACACAAATTTCATCTTGGTATTTCAAGAGTCTTGACCAGCCATTCCAAGCATTGAAAATGAGTGCAAATAAACAAGGTAGGGCGGTTAATCGATGCTGAGGGCTATCTTAAAGATTGCAATTGACAATGACTGCAAAACCTCCCCTTTTAATTGGTGCTCCAGCCCACAACAAATTAGCCGAGGTTTATCTGCTCTTCTTTAAAAATTTTTAAAAAATAAAATAAAATAAATCCACGAATGCATCACGCCTGGATACCCTGTCTGCCACCTTGTCTTGTATTAAAATAAAACCACTTCATATATGTATAGGTTTGGACTATTTTAATAGCAAGTGGGCAAACTCAGCTTCAAATAAGTTTTATTTTTTTTTAATTTTTTCATCAATAGCTACAAATAAGTTAAATGCCTTGTAAAAACTGATTTATATAATTATTTTTTTAGAAAATAATATTTAATAAAATGAAAGTCAAATGTTTCATCTTGTGTTTAGAAAAAAAAAATTTGTGGTGGGAGGCCTGTTTTTTTAGCTGTTTCAAGTCCAAAATTTAGACGCGTTAAAAAAGTCAAATATTTTTTAAAAAGATAAAAAAAATGGGTCTGAAAATTGAGAAAAAGTAATGAATTAAATTTAAGATTTGTTCTCAAAAACTAAGGATAGATAACTCGTCCAATTGGCAAGTTGGAAAAAAAAAAAAAAAAGAGTAATACTAATAAAAAATTACATGGTTGTGGTTATTATGTCTGATTTTTGTTTTTTTTTTCTTTTATCTTCATTGTTAAATATATTGATACGATGTAAATAAGTGAATAAATTATAATAAAAGGGAGGAGCTGGTTGAAGAATAGCAATTTTAACAATTACAACTTAAAACGAAGGCACGAGAAACTTAGCTATCATTGCAAAGCAAGGCCAACGCTAACTCTTAAGTTGAGGATGTCAACGAATTATTATTTTTGACATCTCCCTCTTGATTTGATATATATTATATATACATAATTTATATTTAATTTAATTCAATTCAAAATTAATTTAATAAATTTGATTTAATATAATATTTATAAAATATTATTTTTAATATACATTATATGTTAATTATATATAAATTAAAAAATTTTATTTAATAGATCCTTTAAATTAAAATATTAAATAATAATTTTATTACTATAATATATAAATAAATAAATAATAAAAATATTTTTTTATTTATAAATGAAATATCTAATCTTGATTTTTAAAAATAAAAAAATTACCTCACCTCCCATCCAACTCTAATTAAAAAAAAAAAAAATTTATTTCTACCGAATCCAGTGAAATTAAAACCTCGGATCCATTACTAAAGTTTGAAGTTTCAAGCAACAGCAGGGTGGAAAGGACATGGCACAAAGGCGGTGAGGCAGTGAAGTGCTATAACCCCAAAACAGAAATATGAACTGGACAAACGGGAAAGGCAAGGCAAGGCAAGGCAAAGCAAAGAGAAGAGTTGTCTTTGCTTTCAGTAGGGGAGCTTGCTGTACGCCCACACAAGCTGCTTTGTGCCTTTGGTCATCCATCAATCATCATCTTTGGGAAAAGTCCACCACCACAATCCCTCCAGCAACAGCCGCCCCAAAAGTAAACGCCCCTCGAGAATTATTCTTATTTTTCATCATAAACAATACTGCCACCACCCAACAAGCCCTTTGCCTTCATTTTTTTTCTTTTGTTAACTGACACTTACAATATAAAAAAACAACTAAACATGACTCACGATAGCACTTTCTCTTCCTTCTGGAGGTCAATGGGATGTTTACTGCACTCTTCCATCCTGCACAATCAAACTAAGACCAGATAATGATGTACTTGGCCAACTTTTTCTCTTCCTCATGTCTTCTTCCTCTGCTTCTTACTTTGTTCTGATGATGATAGATGACAAAAAGACCAGTCTTGGTGGTTCGAGTTCAAAACCAAGGACATTTCCCATGCTTCATTTGCTCTTGAATCTTCTTTTATTTCTTTTATTGGCTTTCTTCTTCGCCTCTTCCGGCCACGCTGCCTGCGATCAAAACGATCTCGATTCTCTCTTGGCTTTTTATTCCAACATAACATTGCCATCATCATCTCCTTTGAATTGGTCTGCTTCTATAGACTGCTGCTTCTGGGAAGAAATAAACTGTGACGCCTCGGATGATAGTCGGGTCACCCAGCTTTGGCTACCCTCTAGGGGCCTAAGTGGTCATTTATCACCATCTCTTTTAAACCTCACACATCTAACTCACCTTAATCTCTCTCATAATCGGTTCACCGGCTCTCTCCCTACTGGATTTTTTACCTCCCTGAATCAACTCCAAGTTCTTGATCTCAGCTACAACATTCTGTATGGCGAACTGCCTCTGGATTTCTTTGCAGATGGTAATAACAATCTCAGCCCCATCCAGACAGTGGATTTGTCCAGCAACCACTTCTCAGGAACCATCCAATCTAATTCATTTCTTCAGGCAGCCCAGAATTTGATTATTTTCAATGTGAGCAACAATACGTTAACAGGACAGGTTCCATCCTCGATCTGCCTCAACACTTCCCTCACTGTCTTGGATTTATCTTACAACAAACTTAATGGTGAAATTCCCCGTGGAATTGAAAACTGTTCCAAGTTGCAGATTTTTCGTGCAGGTTTTAATAATCTCTCTGGGACACTTCCTGTTGGTATTTTCACTGCTACCTCACTTCAACAACTTTCCTTACCGCTTAATCACCTTTCCGGGCGAATCCAAGATGGCATTGTCCAACTTGCCGACCTCACCATCCTTGAGCTCTCTTCCAATGATTTTGAGGGGCCCATCCCGAAAAACATAGGTCAGCTTTCCAAGTTGGAACATCTGCTCCTTCACATCAATAACTTCACTGGTTCTCTGCCACCATCTCTCATGAATTGCACCAATCTCATCACTTTAAATTTGCGGGTCAACAATCTGGAAGGAGATCTCTCCACCTTTAATTTCTCCACTCTCCAACGCCTTAACACTCTTGACCTCGGCAACAATAGCTTTACAGGTACCTTGCCTTTAAGTCTTTATTATTGCAAGTCACTAACTGCAATAAGACTGGCTAGTAACCAGCTAGAGGGACAGATATCACCAGACATACTTGCACTGCGATCTTTATCATACCTTTCAATTTCTACTAATAAACTAACCAATTTTGCTGGAGCAATAAGGATCTTGACGGGTTTCAAGAACCTTACTACCCTCATCCTCTCTAAAAACTTCATGAATGAAGAAATACCCAATGATGGAAATATAGTGGGAGGGGAAGGCTTTCAAAACCTCCAGATTTTGGCCCTAGGAGGTTGCAACTTCACTGGTCAAATCCCCAACTGGCTAGCTAAGCTGAATAATCTAGAGGTGCTGGACCTGTCTCAAAATAGAATCACTGGTTTAATTCCCAGTTGGTTGGGCAGCCTACAAAACCTTTTCTACATAGACATGTCTGATAACTTTTTAACGGGAAAATTTCCCGAGGAGCTCACAAGCCTGTCGGCACTGGCAACACAAGAGACTAACGATGAAGTAAATGGAACTTACCTGGAGCTCCCTGTGTTTGTCATGCCTAATAATGCTACCAATCAGCAGCTGTATAAACAACTCTCCAGCCTTCCACCAGCTATTTACCTGAGAAACAACCGTCTCAGTGGCAACATCCCCAAGGCGATTGGTCAATTGAAATTTCTTCATGTGTTAGATCTCAGCCAGAATGACTTTTCTGGCAGCATTCCAGATCAAATATCAAATCTTACAAACTTGGAAATTTTGGATCTCTCTGACAACCACCTTTCTGGCCAAATTCCTGCATCATTAAGAGGCCTTCACTTTTTGTCTTCATTCAGTGTGGCATATAATGATCTTCAAGGACCAATACCATCTGGAGGTCAGTTTGATACTTTTCCCAGCTCCAGTTTTGAAGGGAATCCAGGTCTGTGTGGTTCAGTTGTGCAGCGCATTTGCCCCAATGCACCGGGAATTGTTCATTCTACCACAACTCCAAAAAGCATAAACACAAAACTTATCATTGGGCTTGTCATTGGCATTTGTTTTGGTACCGGTTTGGTTATTACTGTTCTAGCATTGTGGATATTGTCCAAGAGAAGGATTATTCCAGGAGGAGACCCTGATAAGATTGAACTAGATACATTTTCCAGCAACTCTTATTCTGGAGTTCCTCCACCGACTGATAAGGATGCTAGCCTTGTTATGTTGTTCCCAAACAACACCAACGAAGTCAAGGATCTCACCATATTGGAACTCTTGAAAGCAACTGACAATTTCAATCAAGAAAACATCATTGGATGTGGGGGTTTTGGTTTGGTTTACAAAGCAATATTAGCAGATGGGACCAAACTGGCAGTTAAGAAGCTCTCAGGAGATTTTGGACTGATGGAGAGGGAATTCAAAGCTGAGGTAGAGGCTCTATCCACAGCCCAACATGAAAATCTGGTGTCCCTGCAAGGGTTTTGTGTGCATGAAGGATTTAGGCTATTAATATATTCTTACATGGAGAATGGAAGTTTAGACTACTGGTTACATGAGAAAGCAGATGGTCCAACCCATTTAGATTGGCAAACTCGACTAAAGATTGCTAGGGGAGCAAGTAATGGACTGGCTTACATGCACCAGATATGTGAGCCACACATTATTCACCGAGACATCAAGTCGAGCAACATCCTTCTTGATGACAAGTTTGAGGCACATGTTGCAGATTTTGGGTTGTCACGATTGATTCTTCCTTATCACACTCATGTTACAACTGAGCTCGTTGGTACTTTGGGTTATATTCCTCCAGAGTACGGGCAAGCATGGGTAGCCACTCTGAGAGGGGATGTGTACAGTTTTGGGGTTGTCATGCTTGAGCTGGTCACTGGTAAAAGGCCTATGGATATGTCTAGGCCAAAAACATCAAGAGAATTGGTAGCCTGGGTGCAGAAAATGAGGAGTGAGGGCAAGCAAGATGAAGTCTTTGATGCTCTCCTAAAAGGAAAGGGTTATGATGAAGAGATGCTGCAGGTGCTGGATGTGGGCTGCCTGTGCATCAACCAGAATCCTTTCAAGAGGCCAACTATCAAGGAAGTTGTTGATTGGCTCAACAATGTAGGAACTACCATCAGAAACCAAAATAAGGATTAGTGAAAAGTGCCCTTCATCACTTCCTAGGAACAGATACGTATACTTGCACCAAATGTCAGAAATAGTTTATGCATACTTTCACTTTATTTTAACCGTGTAAATAAAATTTGCCCATTCATACTACAGCTGTATAAAAAGAAGAAATCACAATTAACAAGGGACTATTGTTGTAGGGTTGCAATTGTAACCTTTTGTTAGATAGGCCTGCTGAGACACTAGTACTCTATATGTTCTAAAAAAGACAGTTTCCTAGCTTCGGCTTCTATAAAGCAAGCACCATCTAGTTTTTGGCTACTTAATATAAGCTGTTAAAATTTTGCCTTCATGTGAATTATTATTGTAGTGTCACTCACTTTCAATATCTACCAGATAAAAGTCAATTAAAATTGTTGGCGGTAATAGACCCCTCATATATGATTTTTAGGAGCAGTAAAAACACATCTAGCTAATGCCAGCAGGTTATAGTATTTATCTTTTGTTTCACAGGAACTAATAAGTTAAACTACAAAGGCAATGGTTTAACCTTTTATCATAATACCTGCCACAACATCAAATATTAGGGATGTTCATTCATTCGAAATCTTAGTCCTAACTTCCACAGAGAAACAAGCAAAAATATTATGTCAAATGATGGTAAAACAAGTAATATAAGAAACATGAACTCATAAGCATTGTATGATGCATCTGCATAATTATAATCTCCCATGTGAAATCAAAACGACACAAATATATGCTATGTCCTGAGTTGTGACATCTTGTTTTAGGATGACTTGTCCAACGTTCTGCAAACTCTATGTTTCCTAGATGTAAAGAATATATGACTAGCTGTGCTTTTGCTTATTTTCTATCTTCTCAATCTCAAGTATGTCTTCATCACAATCAGTGCTCAAAAAAAAAAAAATTCCTGAAACAAAGTCCTTCACTATAAGCAATAAGGCTTAAATTGAAAACTTCAATTTATTAAGGAAACATGTAATAAACAGCAGTCAATTGCTAAAATTCAAGGCAGTTCATTTGAACCAAACTTAAGAATTAAAATTGAAAATTAAGTTAACAAAATTTGGACAAAAAAATGTCATGAAATAGAAAGTTTAAGAACTTCTAGAGGCCTAAATATATTTTTCTCTTTTGGATGAACAATTTTATTCTTAATTTTTCTTAATTTTTTTCTTTTTCGAGGGCTCAGAAAAGTTATAATAAAAGTTAACCTAACAGCATAATCCCACCATACTTGCCAAAGTATCAAGTAATTAACAAGATCCTTTTGCATTATATATGATGTAAGGATCACTATGAAAGGATATAAGGACATAACATACTAAAATTAATTAAATTTGCATCTCTAGAATTTGAAATGTATGTATGTATACACACAAATACATATCACACACATACATTATAATGTCATGGATCACTGATTTCATTTAAATTTATCTATCACCAATCTTACATGGAGTCAAGATATGGTGTTAGGCATGGTTATACTTCATGGTTTTCTTGTTGCAATTTATTACATTAATTTGCAGGATCTAAGCATCAGACCTTTGTGAATTCCAAGTGTCCAACAAGTGTTGTGACTAAGGCAAGTAAAAGTAAAGTAAAGAGTCCACGTGATATAGGCTATCAAACTTTACTTCTCGGACAGCAAGTTGTGCAGACTATTTTCTGTCCTACCTAATTTAAATTTTCTACTAAGCAGATAGTTTTGCATCATATATTCCAACTACATAGGTAAAAAAAGAGAGTGACATACTTGTTATTAGAAGAAATAAATTTCAAGAGAAAAAGTGATGTTGCTCTTGGTTGGAGTTAGAAATTAACCGTCCAAAGACTGATATTGAATGGGAAAATTTTTATTGTACTGATAATTAGTGGAAAAACAGATCGAAACGGTTAGCAAAAAAACTAACAGAGCTGCTCAGAATTTTGCATTTTGCAAACCCATATCTGACAAGGATCTTAAAGAATCAATTTCTGCTGGTAGGGGATTTTTCATAAAACAACCTCTATCAAAGTTCTGTTTCTTCTAACTCCCAGACCCCAATCAAACAAAGAGATGGATAGTTTTCTTTTGACTGAAAACCCCATTTCTATGATTGAAAATGGAGTTGAAAAATAAGCTTAAAACACTTGAATTTGACTTTTCCTTTTTATTACTACTGTACAATTCATCAAACATGTGGAGTGCAACAGGAAAGGCAAACAAAACAATGAAAATAATGCAACTCCAAAAACTCTTTTCAATTTGGCTAGTCAATAAAACACCAAACAATTAGAGGATTCTTCTAAAACAATGCAAAGCATGCCTTAATCGTGCAAAACAAGTTCTTAGCTTGACTTCGTATTTCATAAGAATCCCTTTTTTCTTCAATGAATCATTACTTATATGTTCAAATAAATGGCCGAAAGTCATTTCGGGTTTGAATTCCAAAACGACCACACTTAACGTGAATCCACAAGATCATAAAATACAAAGATATATGAAAACATGTACCTTGCTTCTTTTTTTTTTTTTCTTTTTAAGTTTTTACGAGACAGTGTTGAACATGTCGGCTATGTCTTTCCTTAAACTTTTCAACTTTCGAACAATCGAACTACAGACAGACAGCTTTCGCGTCATAACTAACAACCTGCTTATTTCCATTCAAAAAAAAAAAAAAAAAAGAAAGACAACTTTTTCTTTCCATTTTGCGATGACCGGAAACAATGTGATCAATCCAAATATGAAGTTGGGTCTTCAAGAGCAAGTCCATTTTTGTTTATGAATCGAATTTTAATTTTTAAATATAAAAAATTCAGTGAAAATTATATATATTAATTTTATATTTATTAAATTTTCATGTACAAATGTAAACAACAACAGTTTTAGAATAAGTAAAAAACTAAAAGAATATAAATATTCAATAAAACATATACAACTATAAATTACAAAGATTCATTAATGACACATCAAAGACACTATGAAGTATATTTGTTGAAAATTATTATACAATAATAAGAAACATTTGAATTATCAAAAATAAAAATGGACCATTTCGAAAACTATTGAAAAGTTTTCAAGGATTATTTTCACGAGATAGGCTAATTTAAAACAAAAAAGAAAAATTAGGTTAATTTTTAGATATTGATTTACAATTTTACTGAAAAAAAAAACCGTTTAAGGTTAAAAGGGAATAAAAAAAATGATACATGCAAAGAATTATAGTAATTTTACATCTTTCTCGTCATTTATATAAGGTAATTGACAGAATTTTGTTAAAAATCTTATTATTAAGCAAAAGTGTAGATAAAGAGCAAGTTATTTAATAAAAATAAAATCTTAGTATTTATCTGTAATTTTTTTATACTAAATTGATAGTTTCACTATAATTTGTATACCAATCTTTAATTAACCTTTAGTTAAATTTATAAATAAAATAAGCTTTTATTTGTAAAAATAAAAATATAATTTGAATTGGTTTTGAAAATTTCAAAAATTTACCTTGTGAATTGAAAATTGAAGCTATCCAAATAAATAAAAAATTTTTTTTGAATGGGTAGTGGACTTAAATTGAGCATGGGCCATTAGTCCAAACAGTGAATGGCCCAACAGAAACCTGCTGCAATTCGAACCATCTCCCTCTTCCCTTCAAGTTCAAACCCATTAATTTCCCCTTTTTTTTTTCCCTTCTTTAACCTCGAACAAGAAAAAAGCACAAAATATCAAACCCTAGATTGCGCCATTCACTTGCCAATTCCATCTAAAGAAATCCCTAATCCCCAAACTCTTCTTCTCAACTCCAAGAAACTGTTCAGTATTCTCTTTTACTACAAAGAATCCCGGCTCAGCGATAACCAAACCCTAGAAATCTCCCGCTTCTCTTCCCCCTAACGCCTCGCCAATGTAAGCCTCTCCAATTTTCAATCTCCGTTATCCAATTCCGTTATTTCCAATCATTCCTCTTCCAATAGTTCCGTTTAATTTCGCTCTTATCAAATGCATGCAAATTTAAACTTTTCCCCCTCTTTTATATATATATTTTTAATTTGAATAATTGAGTTGATTTTCTCTTTGCTTTTTTTTTCTTGTTATTTTTTTTTCTAGTTTGTTGGTTTCGATGTGGGATTAGTGTATTGATTGAGAGAGCTTGAGGGGAAAGAAAAGAAAAGGAAGAAAGAAAGAAAGAATGAGTAGGCTATCGTTTAGGCCACGCCCATTAGACATACACAAGAAGCTACCGATTGTTAAGTCATTTAAAGACTTCGAAGACGATGAGACTCCTACTTCAGCTACTCGTAACGCTCAAATGCTCCGCCTTGCTGCTGCCGAGGTTGATACCGAGGTACCTTTTTCACTCCTTTTCCTTCATTTTGTTCTTTATTTTGTTTTTATCATTACTGTTTGTAATCACTAGCTCTGTAAGCTTAAATTCACTGGCAATATGTAATCTTAGAGTAAAACAAAATCATTTTGGTTTTAAGTTGTTACATTTACTTTTGTATGTAAACATAGAATCTGGAAAAGCAATAAAAAATTAGAGCTTTACAACAGTTGGGGGGCTATTTTGGTTAAGAACATTAGTGTCATACTTTAAGGCTGTGTTTGGTTGATGACTTTGCTACTTGCTATTTTTACTTCTTAAAAAGGTTGCTAGAAAGCAAAAGCAAAAGTTAAAGAACGAAGTTTTAATTGATTAAAAAAGGGATAAATAATTAAAATGTTACACTGCAGTATAATTAGTCTATATAGAACTAGAATCATGCATTTTTTTATCTAAAAAAATTTATATAATTTTATCTATAATCCTTCAATACTATTGTTTGCTTTTCTTCGAAACAACAACCAAACACAGATTTTGTTGTTGTCCTTCCGTCTGCAAGTAGCAAAAGCATGAACCAAACAAAGCATAAGGAATTTAACCAGCTGATATGTAGAAGATGTATGATTTGTAGGAATGTCTGTACATGCAATGGAATTAATTTAATTGTACGTATAAGTTGTAGTGCAAAAAAAAAAAAATGGAAAAAAAAGAAGACTACCTTTATCTGTCCCAGAGGAATTGGGTACATAGCTCGTTTTGCTGAATGATTTATTAATTCAACCAAGCAAAAGGGTAGGCATAAAGAAATGACTTTTGGAATTTTTTAAGAACACTATCCTAATCGGCAGACTTCTAAATGTTAAAGATGACTTTTGCTTTTTGTAACTGTAAATGTCTCTATAGTTTCAAAGTTATTAGTGTTCCTACTTGCCCTTTGTGATAGTACAATATTTGTTCATTTAAATAGATATATTTTTTTTTAGGTGCAACCTATCCCTACCAAGAAACTTGCTCCTGAAATACCTACTCCTCAGTTTGTTGTTGTGGATACGTATGAAAGAGATTATTCCCGCACGTTCTTTCAACCCACGTCCTATTTACGAGCGAGGGGAGGTTTGTGAAATCAGAAAGATTCCTCTTCTGATGCTGGAAAGCTCGTTTGGATGGTTCTTTTCTAGTGATATTTTAGTTTATGCTAATGAGGATGTTCAATTATCTGCAGCCCGGGCTGAGATTGGAGAGTTTGTTGAGTACGATCTAGATAATGAGGATGAAGATTGGCTTCAAGAGTACAACAAAGATAAGAAGATTCTTGCACCTGAAAAGTGATTACATAAATCTTTTTTTTTACTATTGCATTTCTGCTGTCCAGTTGGCTGTGTTCAAGTAATAGAAATTTATTTACATTAATAGAATTTTCTTTAAAAATGTCCCTTTTTCCAGTTATTCACCTGAAATTGTTAGTTATTATTATTTAATTTATTCTTTTTTTATTCTTTATTTACCATTGAGTTTGAAGATTGTTGTGAAGTGATCTAGACTGTTATATATGTCTAAAAATGAGCATGCTGACGTCCTCAAGTTGGTCTTATTTCTTACAAACTATGTCTCTCTAAAAAAATGTTAAGAACTGATTTTATGCAATTTTAAAATTTTAAAGGATCTGATTTCTGCTCTAATATTCTCTTTCAGTGGGAAGTTTATTATCCTTTGAATGATCTAGTGCATCTTTGCCTTTTTATAAGCGGTCTTGTTTTATTCTTATTTTGTATACGAGGTGGCTGATTCACTTGCTGGAGCCATTCAATGAATTCGAAATCCCTCAGCATTCATGTGCATCTTGATGGTGTCTTCTTTTCGTTTAGTCTCTTTAAGCATATACCAGCTATTAGCTACTAGAACTGAGCATATTTTGTCTTCTGGTTTATTTTTAGCCAACAAGAGCATATTTCCTGCCTCATTTATTTTAAAAAATGATAGTGCTATGCTAGATGGACATAATTAACCCACGCAGAGGGCAAGTATTTTTCTGGGATTTGGCGGATCCACCCTAAATGTTATCATTTTATAGAAGCTCAGTTCAAGTGTGATTCACTTGTGCATCTCCTTTCTGTTTAATTAATTCTGCAGTTCTGCTTTCTAATGCAGGTTGGAGAGTCTTCTTTTTAAGTTGGAGGTGTTGGATCATAAAGCTCGGGAAAGAGCAGGAGTTATAACACCTACTCTTGTTTCAAAAATTCCTGTGCTTTTGACAATGGATGCTGCTATTGAGGTGAATGTTTGTTTTGATTACGCAGGTGCTTGCCAATTTGATTGTTTTTTTTGTCATGCATCCCTTACTCATATCACACACACCATGGGTTATTTCAACATTTTGGAGCTTCCTTCAACTTAAATGGGTCATATAAAAATTACATTCAATAAGTGAAAAATCACATCATATATGATTTTCTTATTAGAGATAACCATCCTCTGATGTTGTGGTGGTTGATGCCCTTGACTGTGCGTTCACTTATTTCATGTCCACAACCAGCAGATTTGAAGCCCAAGAGTATTTTTTTGTCTGTTTTTGGTAATTTTTATCTGTTTATGATTTGCCTACTTGTAGCTTGTTTTAAGAACTTTGATGCAAGATGAAGAGTGATTACTGTGCTCAAGATGTTCAATATTTACCCTCATTACTTACCTCCAAATACTAAATCTTGTTTGATAACATGTTTATTTTTTGTTGCCTCAGCATTTTGATGTTTTATTCAATATACTAATTTGCCAAATCATTTGAGAGTGATATATGAGCTCATGCTTATTCTAATTTTCTTTGTTTGCTTTAATTGCTAGGCTTTGCAATCTCAATCCATCAAATATGGAGTCTTTCAGTCGGTTTATAACTATTGGAAAGAAAAGGTAGGGAACAAATTTCATCGCTAGATGCTTTGTGGAATTGTTAGAGATTCAGAATCTTTGTGAATGAAGAAGTCTGCTTGGTTAGTGCTCAGAATTATCTAAATAATTTATTAGATGTTGGATTGGCAAGCTATAATGCTTACTTTGATATCAGGGGAGAAGGTGCCAATAGTTTGATGGATGATGTGATCTAAAGTCCTGGTAATGGTGAAAATAATTTGGACTGCTGCATGTCTACACAAAATGTGACTGTTACATAGTTTGAATTATTATCCTACTGTGTTCACTTGTCTTGTACTCATGGATTTCTTGTTCCAAAATTCTTGAATTATTGTCGATATTATGACCTGGATATTTATGTGTTTCTGTCTTTTTCCTTTTTTTTTTTCCAGCGTGAACGGTGGCAAAAGCCTATTTTACGGCGTTTGCAGGTTAATCTTATCACTTTTTCAAATATGGAGATTGTTCTATGAATCAGATTGCATATATTCATTATTGAGATATGTACTGAGAAAAGATATATACATTGTTGAGATGTTACCGCGTGGATTTAAAGTTTAGGTGACTAAAAATCATTATACTATGTCTTATCTGAAAGCAGTTTCATACTACACATAAAATTCCTGCATTTTTAGAATTTTTATCCCATCATTTCACTTTAGGATGTTGCATGTTTCATACCAGAGTACCAGACCTTGTCAATTCATGCAAAAGCAGTTCTTGAAGAAGTGAAATTGTTGGATAATTCTATCAGAAGTAGCTGCTGCAAATTGTGTCATTTGTTTTTTGATGTCTATAATCATTAGCTTCGTTTTTTTTGGAGCTTGCTGCCCATCTTTCTTCTTAAGTTTTATTAACAATAATTTTTTGGGGGCAAGCTGGCTATTTATATGTATCACTGTGTCAGCTATTGTTCTTTGTGCTATACGTGTGCCATAATCTTTTTTCTTTTAAATTTTACCTGAATTAATATGCTTCAACCACACAATACAGATGAGTTAACGACAGTGGCATTTAAATTCTTTTCTCTTGTTGTGCAGCCTCCTCCACCAGTTAATGATAATAATCCCTACAATGTCTTTAGGCCAAGGGAGAAAGCTCACAGACTTCACACGCGAAGGGTTAGTTTCTGACTTTAGTTGTAAATGCTTAGTAATGATTTTTTTTACTTTAAGTATCTGAGATTCCTACTATCTTTCATGTAGATGCAAAGGAGAGAAAACAATGTGCAGTCATTTGAAAAGCTTCGCCAGGTGAGCACAATTGTTCTTCATTTCATTGTACATTCATGAACTTAATATGAAACAATACTATCACAGTCAGCAAAGTGATTGTCCTATGCTTAGAACTTGCATCATGCAAAAAACATGGTGCTATGATTTGTGAATTTAATGCTTGCTTTCTTGCGTTTCATGAAAAGCCATTAGAAAGGATGGGAATTCTTCATTTTTTTGTTATTCATAAGTTTTTCTCCATCATTGGCTAGTCTCATTATAAAAGACAGAAAAGATGCAATTATTCACTAATCTCTTTTTCTTCTTTCTCTCGTGTCCATTGACTCCTGTCAGCATTGAACTAAAATCTATATTTATATTTTACTTTCAACTCTCAAAAATGATGCTGTGTATGAGTAATTTGTTATGGAAATATGCTTAAGTCAACTCAAGACCCTAATGTCACAGATTTTTTTTTATTGTTGTTTTGGACTGTAAATTTGCCACTTTCTATTATTCGTCATTGTAATTCTTGTATTATTTTACAACATTTTAATAATAATCCTTGTTGGTTATCAAGTTAATTTTTCTTTTTTTGCAATTGACTTCTCTCAGGTGAGACGCAACCTAGACCAAGCCAAGACCTTACTTGAGGCTTTGATTAAGGTGCCTTTACTATTTCAGTTTCAAGCATATGCAAATAGAGGCTTATGTATGCACCTGAATTCATATTGCTTGGGTTGTGATTGAATGCAGAGAGAAGAGAAGAAGAGAGATGTTATGGAATGTGAAGTTAGGCTTCAGAGGATCCAGATGAAGTACAAGGTATGTGTCCATATATTGTATTATTTGCTTCTGATTCACTTATAGTCTACAGGAATGCCTGGTTTTTAATTATCTTTGACCTATTGAGAGCATTTAATGGAGTATTTATTTAAAAGGTCGTTAGTAAGATGCTCCGTTTTAATAGCCCTATATGTTGAGCTTCTATGGGGACATCCTTAGTTATATCTGGGCACAAGTGGTCTCCTAATGTTTTAGGCAGTGTGCCTTTTGAAATAGATTTCTATTATTAGTGTCAAATGTTTTTTTCCAGAAAGTCATTTTTTTCCTTTAAAGAGTTCTCTCAATGACTAATCTTTTAACTGTTGACATCTCCTCTATGCTTAAAGAAAATTATCTGTGCCTTCTTTATCACAATGCTGCTGTTCATTTTGTTGGTTTTTATACATGTATTTTAGAGTAAATTTTAATGTGCTATAGAAAATACAATTTACTATGATTTCAAATTTATTTTTGGATGATGCATGGCTGCTTAACAAAAATTCAGCACGAAACTGAGCTCCTTGAAGATATTATGCTTCCTGGATTTCCACCAATATCTAGCAAGTTTGTTTCAATTGAAGATGAGTTTATGGACTCAGATGACCTTGCAAACAGTCGTCCACGTACAAGACCTGCTGCAGTTCAGAATCCACCTCTAACAGATTCTAATGTAGCCATGGCTCCTTCTGGAACCGTTAAGCAAGAGTTCCGGCGGCGACATATGCCACATGGATGGCTCCATAAACTGGTATGCCTTGTCAATCTGGCTTGCTCTCTTTTTGCAATTCCAACATGCAATTCCCAAAAGAATCAATTGCTCTATTTTGAACTGCCATAACCAATGGCTCTACTTTAGCTATGCATTTGTAATAAACCATGGATTTGACTTGGTTGTGGATTATGGTCTCATCTTTCTGAGTACAGGTTCCGGTTTTTTGGTATGGTTAATGCAGGATCCTCTTGAGCCAGTTTTGTTATTCACAAAACCTCTAGTTCCGGATAAGCTGGCAGCTGCAGGCATTGTACCTCCATCTGATTCTTCAACAAAAAATGGTGCTTCTGCACCGCCGTATAAATTTCATGGAAGAATGGGCCGTGGAGGCCGAATAGTATTTGATAGATGGAATCCTCTGATGCATACTCCAATCGATTGCGGTAACTCTTTTTACATACCGCCCAAGCCCCGGCCTTCAACATATGACTAATTTGGTTAGTTTTGTTTTGTTCCGCCATTGTAAAGAACTTACAATTGATATTTATTGAAATGATATATGTGGTGGGACTGAGCAAGATCGGTAGTGAATGTTTTTTGGGCCCTGCCTAGTGTGTTTTCCACAGCTGCAGTGGCTATACATATATGTATCCATTTTTTTTTTGGCCTAAATCTCGTTTTGCATATATGTTTTGGTGGGAAGGAAAACTTTTTTTATCCATCGGCTAGGTTAATGTTATGCCACTTCCTTTCCTCATTTTGCTGCCTACCTATGGAATAAACCTTAGAAAATGTAAATTTACAATTAACAATTGTTGTTAGGTTTTTTTTTTTATTTACTTTTATTGGAACATTTTAATGGTTTTAATTAGGTTAATGTTACAAATAGTCTTTAAATTATAGTAAATGTTTAATGTGATAGTTGATTTTTAAAAATTTGTAACGTGGTATTTAAATTATGAATTTATTAAAAAAATACATGAAATGAATAATTTTATTTTTTAAGTTGTTAAAATTTTTACCTAATTTTTGAATATTTTGTTAGATGACTTAGTTTATTTTAACTATGAAAAATTAAAAATTAAAATATAATTTAATTTAAATATATTTTATTATTTAATTGAGGATAACTAATTGAATTGATTGAATTGATTAATTTTTAATTTAATTTTAAATAATTTAATTCAAAATTAATTAAAACGATGTTCCTACTTATTAACACATATTATTATTGTAAAATGTAAGTGCTACTTACACATTTTTTACTTCTAAGTGATGAAAAAAATTACTGAGTTCATGAAAAAAGAACGGAAAGGAGAATTTTTAACTCCATCAAGGGCACTGAAGTAAATTCACTAAGCCAACTCATCCTTCTACATCTCTACCCGGTGGCCCAGCTTACACCCATCATCGTCAGCCTCCTTATCAAATAAGAAATTAATATTATCATTAAAAAAATAAAAAAATCGAAAATAAACCCCCAAAAAATATTATAAAAAAATCATTCTCCTCGAATAAATATATACTTACTTAAAATTATTTTCGCAAAGCGTGAAAAAGAAAACGAAAAAAAGAAAAATTAATCCCCAAATTGAAGTAATTTTTTTTTTTTGCAAACCCCAACCCCAAAAAATTAATTCGATTCGCCCCTTCTCTTCTTTTCCCCCTTTCTGTTCTCGATCTCTTTTTCTCATCTAGCTCTCTTTTCTCTTTGTATCGTACGTTCTTGTCAATTTCCCCTCGCACGTGCGATTCAGGCGGTGTTTCGCTGACTCCTGTCGCTTTTCCTTTTTTGTTTTCCGATCGTCGTTGTCGTCGTTGTCTTCGCGATTCTCGGTCTTACTATCGCAATTCTCGAAGCTCCGATCGCAGCTGCTCTTGCTTCTGTTTTCAATTTGCATTTTTCATCAGGTTCGGTTTTAGGGTTTTCATTTTCTCCTTGATTGTTTCGGAAATTAATGTTCTTTTTTATTTATTAGCCTAGGGTTAGTTATCTCTTAGTGCTTCATTCACTAATTAGGATCGTTTTTTATTTTCGAATTCCAAAATTGGGGTTTGTCTTGCTTCATTGGCCGAAATCCCCCTAATGTTCATACAATTTAGTGAATTTCATCTTCAATGTTGTTAAACAATGTGACATGTCTGAAATTGAGATTGAATCATTGAAATTTGAGTTAATTTATTCAATTTTCCTGAATATCTGTATATCTATAACCAGGGTGCATAAAATACAGAAATGCCATAAAGTGATGCTTTTGAAGTGACAATTAAAGGAGGGGAAAAAGAAGGAAGCATGAGTGGTGGTGGATGGTGCGATTGTAAGGCGAGAGTGTGGAATAAGTTATGCGGTTTTTTCTAGTTGTGGTCCTTACTAAGACAAGGCGAAAACGAAGAAGGAATAGGGATAGAAATGAATGTGCAGGCACATACGTCAGGACAGATATCCGGACAGGTATCTGATCAAGGGGGATTGCCCCAGCAAAATGGGAACCCTCTTCAGCCTGCCCAGATGCAGAATTTAGGCATTACTGGAAGTGTGAGTGCTGCTGGCATTGTTGGTGCTGGAGGTCCTCCGCATAATACATTGAATATGGACCCTGACCTCATCAGAACACGTGAATATATGCGAGGAAAGATGTAAGATTTTCTATAAAGTATTAGTTACTGTGTTGTATGAAATGTTTGTATCTTTTGATTTATTTAGTTTGAATTTTGGAAAAATTTGAAATGAAGCTGCATTAGAGGTTGAGGTAATGCTGTCTGAATGCTTTTAATACCATAAAAGCTTGTTATTTATTTGCATTTCATCGTTTCCTTTTTTTGCGTGTTTGTGCATGTACATTTGTACTTGTTTATGACATTTATGTATTGCTGGATGCTCAGTTGCATGTTAGTAAGGCTCTTTTGAAAAAGATGGTGGCATTTTTAGTTTTTTTTTTTTTGGTTCTATACCATTGTAAATTACAGCCTTCAATTGAGATAATGTTTTGTTTGTTTTTCTACTTCTACAAAATGTGCATAGAAGTTAGCATACAAAAGTAACTTAATTGTAAAATCTCTGTAGGACTTAGATGTCTATAATTCACTTAAACTCAGTGATCTATGTTATACTAAGTATAACTGGTAGGATTCTATTGTGAAGGAAACAGTGAAAAGATTTTGCATTGAAATAGTTATGTACCTGTTTGTGTAGGATTTTGAGCCTGTAGATTATGTTGATACTTCTTGAAGGATATATTGACATATGCATCATTGAATAGTTGTTTCAAGAAATTTAAGGGGTCATTTTCTAGTGCAACGGGAAATGCTTCTGGTTCAAGTTTAAGTTGTTAGAGAGTTCTCTCTCTTCTCTCTCAAAAGAAAAAAAAAAAGCTAAAGGAAAAAAACTTGCTTGTTCATTCTCCTAAGACTGCACTTAGGTGGGAGAAGATGTATGATGCTTATAATTTCACATTGATTTGATGATGGGTATTTAAATCATAAGCAATGGAAAATTATTTTCTTGTCATTGATTTCATATAATCATTATATTGCTCTTTAGCTTCCATGTGAGATCAATCAACATATCAAGATTAGACATTTCCATCTCAGAAATTTTTGTTATTATATCCATGTGTAGTGTTTAATTTTATAATTGATGCAAATTTTAATCTTTTTTTTGCCAGTGTTGATGTTTTGAAAGTGCGGCACCAGCATCCTATAACTGAGGCATCAATGAACAAGTTTCGGGATTTTGCAAAACGGTTGGAAGCAGGTTTATTTAAGATCGCTCAAACAAAGGTTAATTATTTTGTCAAACTACTATGTTTTGAGCAAATCTCTTTCTCGACTGATATTTTTGCCCATTTCATTCCTATTTTTTCTTTCTTCACCTTTTCTTTTTCTTTTTATTATTTTCTTATTGTCCTTCAGAATGTTTTGTGTTCTTATCACTGTTATTTATATGTTCTACTACTTTCTCCTTTTTCCCCTGATTTTTGATGCTTGAAGTTTGTTCTCTAGGAGGACTATACAAATTTGAGTACTTTAGAGCACCGTTTACAAACTCTAATTAAGGGGACCAGAAATGTGCCCAACCAAAGACCACAGCTTGTTAATTCGGCATCAGCTCCAGTTGGTACAATGATACCGACCCCTGGTATGTCTCACAGTGCCAATCCTAGCATCATGGTTACATCTTCTATAGATACATCTATGAGTGCTGCCAATGCAAGTATAGCTTCTATAAATGTCAATACAGGAAGCTTGTTGCCTACTGGTGGCATGCATAGTGGTTCTTTTGGTAGATCTGAAGGTAAGTTTGAGCCTTACAGGCTTTGTAATCATATTTAAATAGCATTTTCTACCTAGGGTAACAGATTGGTACTTTTGTAGGAAATATATCTAATGGGTATCAACAGTCACCTGCAAATTTTCCTATTGCTTCTGGTGGAATGTCATCAATTGGTGTGCAAAGAATGACAAGCCAAATGATTCCCACTCCTGGATTTAATAGTAGTAACAATAACAGCAGCACTAATAATCAGTCTTACATGAACAATCAGTCTAATGGTAGTGGGCTTCCAACAGTTGAATCAAAAATGGTTTTGCAGCCACAGCAGCAAAAGCTACACAGTGGTCAAAACAGTCGTATTTTGCACACACTTGGCAGCCAACTGGGTAGTGGCATCAGGTCTGGCTTCCAGCAGAAAACTTTTGGGTTTTCGAATGGGTCCCTAAATGGTGCACTGGGGATGATGGGCAACAATATGCAAATTGTTAATGAACCAGGGACTTCTGGGGGATATCAGACTTCCACACCTTTTACTAATTCGCCAAAACCTTTGCAACAACACTTGGATCAGCATCAGAGACCCCTGATGCAAGGTAAAATCGTGATTTCATCTGTCTCTCTCTCATTATTTCCTTTTGATTTAGTACATGTGAATTTGAATATGTAATTTATTATCGGGATATATGAGTTGTGTCAAAGAAAGCATTCTTTGTGTCAGGTGATGGTTATGGAATGAATCATGCTGATTCTTTTGGGTCTGGAAACTTGTATGGTGCTGTAACATCAGTTGGATCAGTGACAAACACTCAGAATTTGAATCCAGTTAATTTGCAGTCTATTTCCAGAACAAATTCTTCTTTGATAAGTAACCAGTCAAATTTACATGGCATACAATCGGCCACCCATTTCCAACCTCCAGTTTCTTCGATAGACAATATCCTTCAAACTAATCAACAGCAACAATTTCAGCAGCAGCCTCTTCAGTTGCAACAACAGCAATGCCAACAGAAGCAGCAAAATCTGCAGCATCACTATTTGCTTAGCAATAGTGGTTATAGTCAGTCTCAGCTGGCATCTGATATGGGCAGTCAAGTTAAGCGTGAACCTGGAGTGGAACACCATGACGAGTTTCTACATCAACAAGCTCCTGAACAATTTCAGCTTCCTGAATTGCAGAATCAGTTCCAGCAGAATCATGCTGAAGAACTCTGTAGTCGGCAGGATATGCGTTCATCGTTGCCACAAAATTCTCAACAAATGCAACAGATATTGCATCAAAACCAATTGATTCCAGAATCTCAAAATGATTGTAAACTTTCGGCCAGAGCACAGCCGGAATCAGTTGTGCAGAACCAGTGGCACCTTCACTCACATGATGGGGCTCAAATGCCAGGGAACATGTCACATGAGCAGCATGTCCAAGAGGATTTCCGCCAGAGAATATCCGGGCAGGATGAAGCTCAATGTAACAATTTATCTGCAGATGGATCTACCATCAGTCCAATGGTTGTTCCTAGAAGCTCAACAGATCCTGCAAATTCGAGGGGTGCCATCTCTAGATCTGGAAATGGGAACCATGATCGGCAGTTCAGAAATCAAGTGAGGTGGCTTTTGCTTCTGCGCCATGCTCGTAGATGTAAAGCCCTTGAGGGTAAGTGTGACAGCTATTGCTTTACTGTGAGAAAGTTGTTGAGTCATATGGATGTATGCGAATCATCTAGATGCTCATATCCTCGTTGCCATCACTCCAAGATATTGATTCGTCATCACAAGACTTGTGCAAATAAAGCATGCCCTGTTTGTGTTCCTGTTAACAAATATGTACAGGCTCAGATGGCACGTGCCTGTCTAAACTCTACTTCTGTTTTGCCATCTTCGGATAGTGGATCTACTAAAACATATGAAGCTGGAGACATTTCAGCTAGAATGACATCTACAACTGCATCAATTGATACTTCTGTAGACATACAGCCCTCACTAAAACGCATGAAGATAGAGCAGTCTTCTCACTCTGTTATTGCTGAAAGAGAAGGTCCTGTAGTATCAGGTTCTGTTGTTGCTGAACTTCACATAACTCAGGATATCCAGCACCAAGATTACCAACATGGTGACAGGCCTATGCCAGTCAAATCTGAGCCATTGGAAGTGGAGACAGAAGTCTCCATGAGTTCTGCTAAAGGTAGTCCTGTTATTATTGAGGTGAAGGATGCTGTAGATGACATTAGTAAACAGAAGACTGATGGTGAGCCCATTACATGTGATGAATTTCATGTCATACCTAAGCAAGAAAATACTAAGATTGAGGAGCTTGGCTCAGTTAAACAAGAAAATGCGACACAGTCTTCTGAAAGTGCAGCTGGAACTAAGTCTGGGAAACCGAAAATAAAGGGGGTGTCACTGACCGAACTATTCACCCCTGAGCAAGTTAGGGAGCATATTACAGGTCTCAGACAATGGGTTGGCCAGGTATGCTTTATTGTAGAATTTTAATTTGTTTCAGACACTGTTTTCAGGTATGGTATCTGGATCATTAATAAGTTGTGGGCAGTGAATGCATGTGCTAGCTTACTACTTGATATACCAGAAAATTGATTTGGAGACAGAACAAGGAATATTGATGATATTTAATTTCTTCCTTTTACAGAGTACCAGAAAATTGATTTGGAGACAGAACAACGAATATTGATGATATTTATTTTCTTTCTTTTACAGACTAAAGCAAAGGCTGAAAAGAATCAAGCAATGGAGCACTCAATGAGTGAGAACTCCTGTCAGTTATGTGCAGTTGAGAAACTTACTTTTGAACCACCACCTATTTATTGCAGCCCTTGTGGTGCTCGCATTAAGCGGAATGCAATGTACTACACAATGGGAGCTGGCGATACACGACATTACTTTTGTATTCCATGCCATAACGAGGCACGTGGAGATATCATAGTTGTTGATGGAACTGCCATTCCAAAGGCAAGGCTTGAGAAGAAGAAGAATGATGAAGAGGCTGAAGAATGGGTATGTACAATACATACTTTTTTAGTATTATTATGTTCCATGATCATCCCTAACAGTTGCTCTTACATTTTCTTCGGCTTCAATAAAATTGTGCAGTGGGTTCAATGTGACAAGTGTGAGGCTTGGCAGCATCAAATTTGTGCTTTATTTAATGGTAGAAGGAATGAGGGTGGGCAAGCTGAATATACATGCCCCAATTGCTATATTGCTGAGGTTGAAAGAGGAGAGCGCAAGCCCTTACTTCAGAGTGCTGTACTTGGGGCCAAAGATTTGCCAAAAACAATCCTTAGTGACCACATAGAGCAGCGATTATTTAGGAGACTGAAACAGGAAAGACAAGAGAGGGCAAGGGTTCAAGGGAAAAGTTATGATGAGGTGAGTAACATCCTCATGATGAATGTTGATTCTATGTTGTATATGGTGATGTTTTTGTTTCTTTCACGTTGCTGAAAGGTGTTCAGAATTACTACAAATTCACACACAAAGAAAAAAAAAAAAAAGAAAGAAAGATGGCTATATTCAAATAAGTGTGCTTGTTCCTAGTTATATGCTGAAGAAACAAGAGCTGTAGAGGTGATATAAGTCGAAGAATATTTCTTGCTGGTGATTGAGCTTTTAGCACAGATTTTTTTTCTTTTTTTGTATGATTAGGAGAAGATTGAAAAATGGGGTAATTGGATCTTACCAACTTTTATGTTTGAAAGGATCCAGATGCCTTTGATTGGTGTTTTACATTTGCCACCCATTAGCCAGTTATAGGTCACATAGCCACAAAGCTTATTATGTATAGGGCAGAACTTAAAGCTTCTGATTCCTTTGACTTGGGTCTGTTAGGTTTCTTCTATATTTGAAATTTCTTCTTGTTATTACTGTTGATTTCTTTTTGGTCTTTTGAAGTCATATGTTAGTCCTTTCCATTGGCTTCTCATGGATTTCTGCTTCTTGAGGAATAAGCTTATTTCTTTTTTCATTGATATTTCCAGGTTCCTGGTGCTGAGGCACTTGTAATTAGAGTTGTTTCATCAGTTGACAAAAAGCTGGAAGTGAAGCAGCGTTTTCTTGAAATCTTTCAAGAAGATAATTATCCACTTGAATTTCCATATAAATCAAAGGTGTGAAGGAAATAATTTGAATGTAATACATGCTTGCATGTTCTTTTTTTCTTGATAGATAAGTGTAATGCATGCTTGTATGCTTAATATGGCACTTTAATTGTAATTATGAAATGCTTATAAGTTATGTTTTCCTCTTTAGGTAATTTTATTGTTTCAGAAGATAGAAGGGGTAGAAGTATGCTTGTTTGGCATGTATGTTCAAGAATTTGGATCAGAATGTGCATTCCCAAATCAGCGCCGTGTTTATCTGTCATACCTAGATTCGGTCAAATATTTCCGGCCTGAGGTTAAAGCAGTTACTGGAGAGGCTCTCCGTACATTTGTTTACCATGAAATTCTTGTAAGTTCAAACTCTTATTGAATTCTGCTTAGTTATAATTATTGTCATGATTTTCGTTTTACATTTAATATCAGTTATCTATTTCGTTGAGATCATTGTTTAATATTTTGGATTCTAAACCTTAAATTTTCAGATTGGATACCTTGAATATTGCAAGAAGCGTGGTTTTACAAGTTGCTATATATGGGCCTGCCCTCCACTAAAGGGTGAAGATTATATCTTATATTGCCATCCAGAAATTCAGAAAACACCTAAATCAGATAAACTGCGAGAATGGTGAGGCAAACAGTTGTCTAGATCTTTTTTTAATTCCTTTGCATCTCATGTTCTATTCTTATTAATCCATTATTATTAATTTCCCTGATATGTGTGAATGCTGTTTCAGGTATTTGGCAATGTTAAGGAAAGCTTCCAAGGAAAGCATTGTAGTTGATCTTACTAATTTATACGATCATTTCTTTGTAACTACTGGTGAATGTAAGGCCAAGGTAACAGCTGCTAGGCTGCCATATTTTGATGGTGATTACTGGCCTGGGGCTGCTGAAGATCTAATTAATCAGCTCCGCCAAGAAGAAGATGGCAGAAAATTGAATAAAAAAGGAACAACCAAAAAGACCATAACAAAAAGGGCTTTAAAAGCATCAGGCCAGTCTGATCTCTCTGCTAACGCATCAAAAGATCTGTTACTGATGCATAAAGTAATTTCTTTTTTCCCCCCAAATCTTTTGCCTTTCTTTCCTTTTTGATTTTGTTCTGTGTAAAGCCTGTAGATATGGAAGTTACAATCTTGTTATCTTAGTTTGGACATTTTTCGTATCATGACCCAAAGGATTTTAACCGGTTATATTACTATTTCCCCTCTTTTTTTTTTTTTTTTCCTTCAGCTTGGTGAGACTATTTGCCCAATGAAGGAGGATTTTATCATGGTTCACTTGCAGCATTGTTGCACTCATTGTTGTATTCTAATGGTATCCGGAAACCACTGGGTCTGCAACCAGTGCAAGAACTTTCAGATTTGTGATAAGTAAGATTGCTGCTCTATTTAGCTTTGTAATATTATCTTTTATAACTGAGCTCTCTCTCTCTCTATCTATATGTGTGTGTGTGTGTGTGTGTGTGTGTGCATGCACGCGCGCGTTCTTTCATGTGTGACCAGGAAGTGTACCACTTGTGATAGTCTAGTAGCCAATGATTTTATCAGTTGGATCTTATAAATAATATGATTCTGTAGAACTAGAAACTATAATTTTTCAATCAGATCTATAAATGAGAGAGAGAGAGAGAGAGAGGGGTATAACCTCTTTCATAGACATATTTAAGCATCTTTGTTGTAGTGTTTCTATTATTTATTTCGCAAGTTTGAATCTATGCTAGGATTCATTCTTTTTCTGCATTCTACAAAGGAATGTATTTCTGATTCTGACAGTTATAAGTCCAGCCCACATTCATATGGAAATCATAAATAATTTCTAATACCATAGAGGTATGCTAGTTATATAACTCAGCATTATTTTTATTATTATTACTATTATTTTTGCTCACCTCCTTTGGCATTACATTCTAGATATAAGCATTAATCTCGTTGCCCCAGCTTTTACAGTAATACAAACCATGCAAGTTTTTCAATCCTTGGTGTTACTATTTTAGTTATGGAAGATTCCACTGTTGGTTGGTCACGTTGAATGGACTCTCCCTTGTTAAGTTGTTGGAATTTATTGTTGAATTAACCTTTAGCGGGGGCTGAACTTTTTGGCAAAAATGAAGTCTTCATATTTTGGGAAAAAAAGAATAGAACATTCAGGAGTTTACCATTAACTGATACCAAAATTTCACCTGGCAGTGAACATGTTAATTCTAATACTATGTATTGGCTGAAGTGATAATTCAGAGTGAAATTTTTTCCCCCCCTCATTTTAAATTTCAGTTTAATAGTCTTACTTTTGCTTTTGCAGAAAAGGAAATTGATCCTTGGTGCTCTTCAAAAATAGATCTTTTTTCATGTTTCAAGACTCAACTCCCCTTCCCCTTATCAGAAGCCTAGTGATGCAATTCTTATCTTTGATCCCTTATTTTCCTCTATTCTTATTTTAGCCTGTTTCCACCAACTGGGAGAAAGTTTCCTAGATAAATGGATCTGATGTTTGCTTCCTTGTACCTTCACAGGTGCTATGAAACAGAGCAGAAACGTGAAGAAAGAGAGAGACATCCCATCAATCTGAGGGAAAAACATGTTCTCTATCCAGTAAGTTTGTCAGAGTACTGCGATAATTTACTTCTGGCGTTTGTTTCTGTTGCTTCTTCTGTATGCAGGCTTGTCTTTTCTAATCGAATTTTTGTGGAAAATTGTCATTATGCAGGTTGAAATTACTGATGTACCTAGTGATACAAAGGATAAAGATGAAATTCTTGAGAGTGAATTCTTTGATACTAGGCAGGCATTTTTGAGTCTTTGTCAAGGGAATCATTATCAGTATGATACCCTAAGGCGGGCTAAACATTCCTCAATGATGGTCCTCTACCATCTTCACAATCCAACTGCTCCTGCATTTGTCACTACCTGTAACATATGTTATCTGGACATTGAAACTGGTCAAGGTTGGCGCTGTGAAGTTTGCCCTGATTATGATGTGTGCAATGCCTGTTACCAAAAGGATGGGGGCATTGATCATCCTCATAAGTTAACAAATCATCCTTCCATAGCTGAACGTGATGCACAGAATAAAGAGGCTAGGCAATTAAGGGTTCTGCAGGTACTTTTTTTTTTTTTAGTAAAATCATTGAACTTTTTTTCAATAAAAATTGTCTTAACTGTTTGATTAGTTGGGAGTGGTTAATTGGCTAAATCTCATCAAAACATTCACGTCTATGTATTTCTGCAAATATTACTGGTCAAGTATATACATTACACACACACACACACGCACATCTATCTATTCAAAGACAAGCTATGGTGTACATCTGACAATGGCTTGTATTTGGAACCCTTTTTATTCTTTTTGGGGGGTTGGGGTGGTACCAATAATTGGCTTGATAACATTGGAAAGTGTGACTAAAGAACTCTCTCAAAGTGGATCTAAAGAACTCTCTCAAAGTTGATGTTTATGAGATGCTATTGGAGCCGTGCACTTGAATATTGAAATATGCTAAATCTAAGTATTTTTATTCTTCAAATATATTACTTTTCTTCTGGTTTGGCAAGTAGATGGTTGGAAAAATGACTTTATGACTATATGTGTGCAAACATGGCGGATTTTAGATGCGTTCTTCTAACTGGATTGGTTCTTGAAATTTGCAGCTGAGGAAAATGCTTGACCTTTTGGTGCATGCATCACAATGTCGTTCTGCGCATTGCCAATACCCTAATTGTCGGAAAGTGAAAGGGCTTTTCCGCCATGGAATACAATGCAAAACACGTGCTTCTGGTGGTTGTGTACTTTGTAAGAAAATGTGGTATCTACTGCAACTTCATGCACGGGCATGCAAAGAATCTGAATGCCATGTACCACGTTGCAGGTACATGCATGCACCTCCTGAACAGCCATATGTTATGCTCCTTTCTCTGTTTGTGTTCTTGGGTTTAATTTGAAGTTAATAATGTTAAATTCGTTAATTAATACAGAGATCTTAAGGAACATTTGAGGAGGCTTCAACAGCAGTCTGATTCGCGGCGTAGAGCTGCTGTGATGGAGATGATGAGACAGAGAGCTGCAGAGGTTGCTGGTAATTCTGGGTAAAACCAAATTGTAAATATGGATTTGGATATTTTGATAAAATAGTTTTTTGTGCTGCTCCACTGGTTCACTGCTTGGAACTAGGCAGTGATGGGGAAAACCGGCGGATCTAGGTCAGAAAGGGGGGGGGGGGGGGGATAGGCATACAATACTAGAAACAGATTGATTAGTGATGGCTTGTTAGGGAACAATTCTTTCATTCGTAAACCCGTGACTGAATTCCCTACAAAGAAAGCTAATGAAGTTTTTACGAGATGTGCCAACTTTCGGAGTTGAAGTAGTGATGTGAGTCAGTGGCCTGATTTGGTGATTCTTTAATTTTTTATCTTGTATTCTGTGGAATGCCAGCCATGCCATCCCTTTGGCGGCGAGTGTACTATAATTGTTCTAATCTGTCTTTAAATTGCGTTCTTCCAGAGGAATGTGGGAGGGAGGGAGGGAGGAAGGTTAGTTTCAAAATCTTTTGTTGCCCCCCACCCCCTTGTCTTTTTGTTTCATATGTTTTCCTCATTTTGTAGAATGGCTTCTTATTTAAAATAAGTAGAAAGGATTGTAGAAGTGCAGCCAATTCATTTTTAATGAATACCGTCAAATTATGTTTATATAGTTCAAATGAAGTTCATCTTTTTTTTGTCTGAAGGCTTTTGGTTTTACTTTTATCCCATTGTTACCAACATTGGGCTTTCACATTAGTAAATTCAATTATATCTAAATTTCTGTTTACTTTTAATTTCAAATATTTTGCAATAAGATGGAATTAAATTTGCTTCTTGAACGATTCAAAAGATTAATTCATAAAATGACTTAAAATTAATTTGATTTAATTTTAAAATTTAATAATTTAAATCTAAAATGATAATAATCCAAAAAGATTTGAATCGAGCACGACTTAATATTTTTTGTCAAATCAAAATAACAATATCCGTCTAATTGCTGCGTCAGTTGGTAGAAATGGGGTGCCTGTCTGTCTGTCTGTTCTGTCTGGCTGTCAACTGCCCTGCAGAGGAATTGAAAGGTAACGGGTTAACTCATCGTGGCGCGCTTATTGGCTCTAACAACCAAAACCACCCAAACCTCAAATCAAAAATATGTGGTCGCTCTTCATCTTCTCTTTCTTTAGCTTCTTTCTTCGATTTTGATGTTCCACATCTCAACCACCCCACCTTTCCTTCCATTTCATTCCCAGTTTCTTTTTTTTTTTTTTTTTTTTTTTTCTCATAATTATCCACTTTGCAATTTGAAATATTATATACATTATTGGAATATTGAATTCAAAGCTTCTTTTTATTTTGAGTGAACTAGAAATGAGAGCTGCCACTGCAGCAGCAATGACACCTTCAACCAGTTTCAGCAACAGCCTTAACAGCAGCCCCAACTGGGTGAAATGGCAACCTTCTCCTTGTCACCGTACCACCTTCCTTATCCCACGCGCTTCTGCCTCTCCCAACACTGGCAAGGACAACAACAAAAAACCCAAAGCTAAAAAAACTTCTTCTCCAACTCCCTTAACAACTGCAACAACTGAATCTACTACGCAGGACCAGCAACAACAACAACAGCAACAGCAACAGGTTTCTTTAAGTTTGGACGGCGTGAATCCTGTGGGTTTGGGACGTAAATCCAGACAAATATTCGACGAGGTTTGGAGGAAGTTTTCTGGGTTGGGGCAGATATCAAGGACTACTCGTGCAGATGATAGGGAGGCTTTGGATGCTTTGCTTATTAGAGAAGGACCCATGTGTGAATTTGCCATTCCTGGTGCTCAAAACACCACTGTCCTTGTTGTTGGTGCCACCAGCCGCATTGGTCGCATTGTTGTCCGTAAGCTCATGCTCAGAGGATACACCGTCAAGGTTTCTTTTCTTTTACCACTTTCCTCTCTTTTATTTCTCTGAAATTTGTACCTTTATTTTTGTTAGATATAATTTGTTTTCTCTAATTCTGTGATTAAAGGCTTTGGTGAGGAAGGCAGATCAAGAGGTGTTGGACATGCTTCCTAGGTCAGTTGAGATAGTAATTGGGGATGTGGGTGAGCCTTCCTCCCTTCAAGCTGCAGTAGAAGGTTGCAACAAGATTATCTATTGTGCCACTGCTCGGTCCACTATCACTGGGGATCTCTATAGAGTTGATTATCAAGGGGTTTTAAACCTTACAAAAGCATTTCAGGTTTGTTCCAACCCTGAGTATCCCTTTTACTCCATCTATAATGATATATGCACACATTTGATTGCAATGTGTTCTTCCAAGACTAGCCTTTTTTTGTGGATGTTCCATGCCTCATTATGCTCAAAACAAATCATCACCCCTCTAGAGGCAGTAAAATGACCCTTTTCATTTTCATTAAATTTACTTTCTCTGCTATTCCAAGATTTGGGTATTTCTTGAGTGAACTCATTTTATTGTTGTCTATGCCTATGCAGTTTGCAGCTTGTGGATGGTTTAATGGATTTGTGGTCTATCTATATTTCTCTCAGAAAAATATCTCTGGTGAACTGACATCTAACATTATCTGCAGGACTACAATAATAAACTGGCACAAATTCGGGCGGGAAAAAGCAGTAAAAGCAAGCTTCTTCTTGCAAAGTTCAAATCTGAAGATTCATTGAATGGATGGGAAGTACGTCAAGGTGCTTACTTCCAGGATGTGATTGCTTCGAAGTATGATGGTGGGATGGATGCTAAATTTGAGTACACTGAGACTGGAGAAGCTGTTTTCTCAGGTAAATTTCAGTTAAAATATGATGCATGCCTAGCTTGAAGCAATTAAGATTTACAGCTTTCTTATGTGGTTATTAACTGTGACATATACAGGGTTTTCTATCTTTAACTCTGTTTTTGATACTGAACTGCAGGCTATGTTTTCACCAGAGGTGGGTATGTTGAGCTGTCGAAAAGGTTTTCACTTCCTTTAGGTAGCACTCTTGACAGGTATATGATACTTCCATATTTCATATACCTTCTTTCTTAGCGGAAGCTGGCTGTTGTTTTATATGTTAATGACAGATACACTGATTCCACCTTAAAAGTGTATCTCACTTTGTGGAATATTTGGTGTTCAGATATGAAGGTCTAGTTCTATCTCTTGGTGGTAATGGAAGATCTTATGTTGTAATTCTTGAAGCTGGTCCTTCAGCAGATACAACTCAAAGCAAATTATATTTTGCTAGAATAAACACAAAAGTAGGATTTTGTAGGGTAAGGATCTCTTGCCCATAAAAAGCTATGGGCTTTCTATCATGAGCATTCTATGCATCAATTCTTATTATTCTTAATAATTTTGGTGAAGGGTTTCTATTAAATTGCATATTTTTCTCTTTTGTGATTGACAGGTAAGAGTGCCATTTTCATCATTCCGTCCCGTGAAACCAGATGATCCACCATTAGATCCATTCCTTGTACATACATTAACTATACGCTTTGAGCCACGGAGACAGGTTTGTGTATTTCGAAACTTGCACAATATCACCTAGTTTAAAAACTTGTAAAAGTATAAGGGATCCTTACGAGTATTTATTCTCAAAAGTTTCAGGTCAATAACTTTTTGAATGGTCATTGAATTTGTGTTTTGGATCATCAATTGTTTTAAGGAGATTATTTTGTTAATTTAGGTTTTGTTGTGCGAATTCTTTTTTTTTTTCGTTTTTAGCAGGATCTGATGGTTAAAACTCAAAATTGTAAAATTACTAGCTAATGGATGTCTTTGGTGATTTGACTGCTACTTGGTATTTTTATTGAATATTCTAAATGATTTTTGATCCAGGAAGAAATTATGCATGCCATCTTAATCACCTGCTTGGTCACATTGTTGTTGGTTGCTTCTTAATACTCTATGTTGCCATCTATTGTGGTGTCAAATGAATTTTTGCAGTAATGCTATTTGATTCTAAATTACTGAATCATATAAATGATAGAAATACAAATCTATCAAAAATACATCAGTAAAATGATTTGTTTGCTTATATGTGTTATGATTCTCCACTACTGTTGAGTAAACTTGATGAATACTGCATATAGCTTGTGAATTCTGATTAACAGTTTGCATAGGTGTCCGCGTAGTGAGAGTTTATCACATATTATGAGCTTTTCATGGAGGCATTTGAGTTACTAATACACTTGAGTGATGATTTCTGCTTGCATATCCCCATGTGAGATGGACTACTAATATTTAGATAAGATATCATTGGCTTGCATGTTGGAACTTTGGCCACAAACACACACAAAAAGTAATACTTGAACATTTATATATTATGCATACTACAGTAGTATGCAGAAAGTTTGATTTCTGCTGTGAGTGGCAACTCTGCATGTTTTGCTACATAGTTTATTAACTATTCTTTTTTCGGCATTTGTAGTACAATTACAAATTTTCTTATGATAGCTTCTATCAGTCTATTCTGAATATCTTTTCCTCAGCTCTCTAGGAAAAGTATTTTTGAACATTTTTAATTATTTCATGCCATCCTTCCTTTTGCTGATGAGACCATTAAACTTGATTCTGTTCCATCTTTTTCAACTGTACTCTTTAAACAAAAAAGTAGTAATTGTTTTCTTTTGGTTTGTAAAGATCTCCTAATTGGACAAGACATTGTGTGATCAAGTCCAAAAGATGATTACAACAAAAGTTCTTCACCTTTTTTTGTTCCAGTGCTGGCATCATCATTCATGCTGTTACTGCTGTGATTTCTGATCATTTATCAATATCTTACTCCCCTTGATCAAATGATTACTACGCTGGTTTTAATGCATCTAATTCTATATATTATTCTTGCTGCAGAGGCCTGTTGAAGGAGCAACAGGTATGAAGCAAGACCCCCGTAGTTTCAAGCTGATATTGGAATATATAAAAGCCTTGCCAGTAAGTGTTTTTATGTATGTTCCTCCTCTGTTGATAGAAGGACCTTCAGTTTTTCTTTTTTCCCATTTTTAACACACTTTATAGTTTATACTATCATTTTATGCTATAACATCACAAATGAGCGCTATTGAACCTTTTCTGGTAACATTTATGAAGTGTTCCTGGTCTGAATCATGTGATATGGTTTTCATTAACTTTAATGAATTAAATGCAAAAAAGACATTGCTGCTTTTAGTCTCTGCCTGTAACATACATTAGTTAAGGCCATAGGGATTGGGTTGCAAATAATCAGTATTCTTGGTTTTGCTTTGTTCCACTTGTGTCTGCAAGCAGGCACATCCACATGTTTGCACTTGCATGAATTTGCATCTGCAGCTATCATACCCATCTGTTGTAAAACCGTTATCTTTTAGTTCTTATCTCCAACGTTTAGAGTAACTTAAAAGGAGAAATAAATGGTTAATGGATGGAAAACATAAACCATTGATCTGGATTTCTAGTGAAATAGTTGTATCATATTATTACATCATGTGAAACTTGTTTCCATCAATGAAGTTATTTGGTGTGTCTGAATCCTCTGGTACTAATTAGTCATCCATTTCAATGAACTGTTTTTCATCTTGAAAATAGTCAAGCCATTTACTTCAACTTGGAGGTTTTGGCTGGCCGGTTAAATAGGTGTGTGATCATTTTAGTTACATAATCTGAAGGCTCAGTTCCATCAATGAAGTTGGTGAGTCTGTCAAAATCTTCTTATTACTAGTTAGCTATTTGTTTGGGTCAATTCTTAAAGGTTCATGTTTTGCTGCTGTGTTGAAGGGAGTCAACCATTTAAAATTAACTTGGAGGCCTTGGCTTGCATGTTAAAGGGTGGGATGAAATATGGGTAGATGCAATAGTACAGAAACACTATCTGTGACTGATTATTGTTATTATTTTAAAATTCTTTTAGGGTTCCAAGGATGAAAAAAAAAATACTAAATGATGTTTATGGATATTCTCTGTTCTTAATATGGTTGTTAATAGTGATTTCTTGTTATATACTTGGTTATTGATTTGACTGCAAAAGTATTTGTTTATGTAAAATGTGGAAAGCAGATTCAAAATATTTGTAAATGTGGGGACTGTAATACCTGATAAGGGACAGAGTTAAAGTTACTACCTAGTCCATTATCCTATACTTTGAAGGAGATAAAACATTTTCCCCCATTCTAAAATAATTTTAACCTGATGTTCTGCAGACTGGACAGGAAACAGACTTTGTTTTAGTCTCATGCACAGGATTAGGAGTCGATCCGAACCGAAGGGAGCAAGTTTTGAAAGCCAAGAGGGTCAGTCTTGTCTTCTGCTTCTGTTTTCATTAATGTGAGAATCATTCCTTCTCTGTTTTCCATTTCTTGTATTGTCATAATTGAGTTTTCATCAGGCTGGTGAGGATTCATTGAGAAGATCAGGTCTTGGGTACACGATAATTCGCCCTGGTCTCCTAAAGGTAATGCTGTTATATCATTCTTGGTAAGTTGTTGATATTTAAATGCATGTGAACCGAAAGGTCCCTTTTTTATTATTATTATTATTATTGTGGGAAGATGGTGGTTTCTTGGCTAAGCCCTTAACAAATTTGATTGACTGTCTGTATAATATTAACCACTTGAGTCATTGAACATGCTGATATACTTGTCAAGCTCATTGTTCCAATGAATGTGGTTCTTGAAAAGAAAAAGGATAAGGGCAATAAAAATGCTGCAATAAAATGGTATCTCTTTGATATGTCTGAGGCATTTCCAATTACACATGAATAATTCTGAACATTTCAAATCAGTGTCTGTCATTGGTGCCTACACTAGCTAAAATGCTCCTGTTCCAGCACTATTAGTGGTTAGAATGCTGTATGTTAGTTTTACATAAAAAACAAAGCATGTAAGGAACTTTATATTACAATGGGAAATGGGAATCTAGTCTACCAAATGTTTTCAAACTTTTTTATATCCAAAATTGTCTTTTTGGCAGCCAAAATATGTACTGAATCAAAGTTTTGTTCTTACAGGAGGAACCAGGTGGCCAACGTGCTTTGATTTTTGATCAAGGAAACAGGATTTCTCAGGTGAGAATGCACTGCTCTTGTGGACTGTAATAAAACATCATTGAGTTTGCATTCTGTCTTATCACTCTCTTTCTTTTTTCAGGGCATTAGTTGTGCTGATGTAGCTGATATCTGCGTGAAAGCATTGCACGATTCGACCGCGAGGAATAAGAGCTTTGATGTGGGTAACACTGATTGGCATAAAAGTTAATTTCGAGTATGACAGAACTAACCGAAACTTGATTACGTGCAGGTATGTCATGAATATGTTGCTGAGCAAGGGAGGGAGCTTTATGAGCTGGTGAGGACCAATTAAAACCTTACTAGTATTCAAAACTGAAAGTAGTTACCTTTTAACTGCTTGTAACCAATAATAACTAGAACTGAAGCAGCGTATATACGTTTTCTTCCTACAGGTTGCCCATTTGCCTGACAAAGCAAATAATTATTTGACTCCGGCTTTGTCCGTTTTGGAGAAAAACACTTGATAATCATTTGAGGATAACTTGTTATCGTTCTCCGAGTATTGGCATCCGATTGTAACTACATTACAAAAGAAAAAAGAATTCCCCCAACTTGATAACGCCTTGGAAGTCAGCAACAAAACAACTCTTTTCTTGATATCGCCCAGATGATGATGGTCATATAGGTTATGCATAGTCTTTTTCTTTTCTGTAAATCCACGTGTAGTCCGATATAAAAAATGTGTATGTATTTTGGGTAGCATATAGTGTATACGGAGCAAAAGCTCTGGATAATGTGGAGTTGTGTAGATTATTCTAATTTGTGGTTCACTGTGATCCAAAACCTAATGGAATTTTACATGTCATATTAAACATTATCTACATATATGTATATTTATTTATATATTTTGGAAAGAGATGCACATAAAATATCCCGTAAATTCACTCAAAAGTGATGGTTTTTAAGCATGTATTTATTCATTTGATCATAAATGGTAATGTCTTGAATTCTTTATACCTTCCTCCTATTACAAGCTCTCAATAAACAAAAGGGACAGATGAAATTCGCAATAAAAATGTTGGAATTGACAATTTTTTCCCAATGTGTTCATCCCTTCCTTTTTATATACAGCTGAATGAACCAAGTTCTTGAAGAATGATGCTGTGGTTTTCCTCGGGTTCATGCTCCTCTGTGTAATTCATGTGATTTGTTGCTTCTTTTTTTTGTTATTAATTTATTTAAAATTATCAGAGATTGATTAAGATCACAATAAAAAATTCACCATTTTATCAAGGGATCACTTGATTACTCAAATTTTATATTACATGGCTTGTGAGGTAATTGTAATCTCTCTGTCCCGATTACAGGCCACAAAAATAAAGGTCAATACGTGGATCAACAAAGCCACACAGGATAACTCTCCCAACAAGGACCCCGTAGGACCACCAACAACATGAAAATATTGCTGAAGAGATAAGGGAAATGTGGCAGCAAACTCTTGTTTTCTTTAATCCTGCTAAAATGAAGAACAGAATTGATAACAACAAAGAACTACACATTAACCATAATGCTAATTTATGGCCCTGCTGCGTCTTTTTGTGTCAGAACATCATTCTACTGTGTCAGCAGCAACAGAAACAGCGACAACATTCCCAGCAAAAGCAGTAGCAACCTCACCCGGTACAGCCGTAGATGCAACCTTGTAGCTAGCTTCCTTGCGGCTGCTGCTGTTATAGTCTCTGCAGCTGGGGCCGTTGAGGTACACCAAGATTCAGAAACACTGTCCAACATACCCCAAATACTTTTTGGAGAGTGTGCATCCGCCAAAGATTGCAAGAAGCCTAGAATCCAGCGACCAAAGTCTAGGAAGGCTGAGTCATGCACTACCAAATGTGTCACTACTTGCATTAGAGGTGGTGATGGATCTCCTGGGGAAGGTCCTCTTAATATCAGAAGGTACTTAAGTTCCTTCCAAGGATCCATCTCATTTTTCTAGCCTTATAGAACCACAGGCACCCTGGCTGCAATAGACCCTTTAGCTAAAAACACTACCGACAGAAAGCTGTCTATGCTACAATAAATTACTCTTGTTTCCTTATCCTAATATTCTGCATTAACATCTGATTGCCTGTTTCATCTTCTCCAGACCTTTGGTTGTTTTTAAGGAGGGGTTTCGAAGTCGAAAGTACTGGTACTTTTTCTATTTCCTCATCTTAGCAATTGGCAATATATTATTACTAACAATACCACTCAATTAAGCACTGTATTGTACAGAGCTAAAGAAATGACTGAGAGTTGGGTTATTTCACCTGAGCTCATATAAAAAATTTGTTTCTCTATTGTTTGTGAATTCAGTTAGCTTAGTAGAATAAACTTATGCATAAATGATAACAATTGTAAGAATGAAAGAATGGTTCTGCAAAAAGTCAGGAGGCACTACTCTACAATCTATATCAATAAAAGCTATGCCGGCAGACTGCCTATGCTCAAGAAATATTGGCAAGAGTATACTTGCATCATAATTTAATTGTCCTTTGGATGTTCATTTTCTCTAAATTCTGGTCCAATAAGTTCCATTTACTTATGAAGACTATTTTTTTTCATCTGCAGCTTGGTGGAGTGTTCCGACATTTGTAATTTGATTGGAGATGGGGATGATGGACCTTGAATTGTATATGATTCTTGTACTGCAACGTGACAGGATTTTTCATTCATTCATTCCTTCTTGATTTGCTTTACGCTAATTGCCAATATTTTATGCTTAATTAAGTATCTGTCAGAAGTAATATACGAATCTATAACATGAAACTGAATCCATACCTCCATGTACTGATCCATGTGAAAAAACCTAGAAATGCATGTAATATAGAGAATGGATATTCAACGAAGTAACATTCTTCTAATAGATAATTCCTGTTATTGTTCTGAAAACCTTAAACAAAAACACTCTTCACACCCTTGTGAGTTTTACAAGACAGCTGAGGAGGGATGGGGAGGGAAGAGGGTGGGAAGGGAGAAGGCTCGATCTTTTGATCATAAGTTTTGCATAACCAATATCTTTGGACCATGATTAGCTTATGCAAAATGTGTTCCTAAGTTCGCAGATGATTGAACAGCTAGGGGAAACTGCATACAAGTGCTTTAGCTAAACAGCATGATAACAGCTGCCGGCCTTAGCCAATTGTGATGGAACCTTGATTCTCTTGTTGATATAAGCATTACTTGTATGAACATGGTATCTTCATCTAGAAAGATTATGAGGCTTCCTGTGTCAAGAAGATGACCGGGAGTCTCCTCAATATGCATCAGTAACCAACCGAGACAACAGACCGGAGGATTAATGTGGAAGTCAAATATACCATTTTCCTGATTTCACGGAGAGGATAACAAATCAAAAGGATAGAAAACAATCTTTTTATAAACATTCAGCAAAGTAGCTTCAAGCTTTTTCCTTTATTATATATCATTGTAAGCATTTGCATCTAATTAGCCAAAATGATAAATGAAAGAAGAATGAGACTCTCCTATGCTAATCAGATTCTTCATCTGAATCCATAAAATCCTATGAGTCAATCAGTTAGGTCTTATTTTGGCATGGACCAGCATTACCTAATATGCAAAAGAAAAGAAAGAACTTCCAAGACAGCAGTTAAGAAACTATAAAAATTGCTGTTACAAGACAAAGATTATTTTGGTTGACACTCTTCAATCTTTGTTTATCACATAATTCTTGTTCTTTACATCAACCGCTTCTCCCTTATTCAACTAGAGATTTGAATGTATGATCTCTAAACTTTATTTTTCCAAGCAAAATGTAGACAAAACAAGTATGTCAGAGTTTCGTATATGATGTTCAAAGCCTTGATAATGGTTTGATTAGAGCAAACAAAGAAGATGCTGGTGACACGAATGTAGACTTCCAGCTAAGTTGATGATCATCTTGCCTTCGCTCATCTCCTTCATGTTCTTCAGTTTCTTGCTCTTCATTTGCTTCCTTCTCAGCATCATCCACCATCTGCTCAAATGACCAATTATGTGGGCAATTAGAAGTAATCATAATTCATAAATGAATATCATAAACAACTGGAGATATTGCTCAGAAGCTCAAAGTCCACTATGCTTTTTAGTTACACAGTTTAGATTGTACAAGAATTACAGCAGATATTGCTTGAAGAATCAGTACTGAACTTCAATAGGTTTAAAATGTTTAGGAGCATTTCTGGCATGCATGCCTTAGTCAAGAGTGTTAGGCAAGAAGCCTCTATCCAATCACATCAGCGGAAGTGAAATCAAACAATCAAGCAATCACATAAAAGACGACAATTTAATGTGGTTTGGCTCAACTGACCTACATTCACTGATGAGAAAAAAAATCCACTAGTTGTAGAGAATTACAAACATACAATCATTTCAATCAACCACTCAACAATCAATACCCATAGACCCTCTTAATCTCCTCTAGTCTTATAGAGTATTCTTAACTCAAACAAACACATATCCATGTGCACCCATACACCATATCTATATGGACCCTCCCAGTCTCTTTTAGTCCACTCACATGCATCATATCTATGTGGACCCTCTCAATCTCTTCAGTCTACTCACAAATATAACATTCATACAAACCCATAAGACGTAAATCTCCAATAGTCTTATACGGTATCTATCCCATAAAACTCTACAACTCTTTTACATCTTTTTCTCATACATAAACCCATAAAGACTCCATCTATTTATAAGCATACAAACTTACCTATTAAGAATCATTTTCTTCTTCGAATTCTTCTTTTGCAAGTCTTCTTGTCTATCAAGTAATATCTAACTAATCTCAAATAAATCTGTTAAGAGATTTGAGTCACTATTCCCAACAAATAACTCTTAAAAATATGAATTAAGTTTTCATGTGCAGAATGTACAGAAGAAACTAACTCTTATCACTTTTCTTTGGTTCATTCTTCTTATTTATTTTTAACTCTGTTATACTAGCAATTACATGAAAGCTGCCAAGAACTGAGAAAGTCCCTTGAAATGAAGAACATTAATCATACATGTGCAGCTAAAGCTCATTATATAACTTCTAAAACACATATTCCTGTCAGCATCAATAAATTTTCAAATATGCAAAATTCAATTCTGCAATTCAAGTAATCTATTATGATTAATCCCCTTTCTTTTTTCTAAGCATCTGAAAAGTACTTCTTGATATTTGAAATTGTACCACTTGGAATATTTACTCTGAAGGAAAATTCAAAGGGTAAGACTTGATTTCCCCTTTAAGCAGGATGAGGTTGAGGAGAAACTATAAAAGCTGAAAAATACTATATGGCAACTAGTAATACTTAAGCAATTACCAGTTCATAAACAAGATGATCACTGCTTAATCAGCAATGAATTTCAACCTGGACGGCCTGAACGTTAGGTATGGATCCACCTTTTGAAGTGAGGTGTTCAAAGATTGCAAAATAAGAAAATTTGAAAAAAAAAAATTCCTGAACATTTCCTAATTTTTCTCTGGACACCCTTTCCGTGACAAAATTAGTAAATTTGTAGACAGTTATAATATATATATATAAATATATATAAATATATATATATATATATAAGTGGACACTCTCGAAAAAAATTCCTGAATCCATGCTGTAGAACATCCTAGTCCTAGCTAGCCTCCTGGTCAAACCATTAATCAAGCATATATACATGGTCTGATTAATCAGGCAAAAGGAGTGCTTCTGCATGCAGATACTAGATTTGTGGTTGAAGACTTGAAGTCAAGAAGATCAAACATGAAAGTTTTAATCTGACATAAAATTGATTTAGCAAGCATTAACGGTTATGAGAAGAAGAGAAAGAAAATATGACCTTTCTAGTAATGGCAGGGGAGAGTGAAGGAAGAATATCAACAAGATGAGTCTTGATTCGGTGCAAAGCATCCTTCGTAAGACCATGAGCAGCAACTGTAACATCCCTCACCACACTCTCTAAGAAGTGCCTAGCATTCTCTAAAGCATCAGCCGGGACTGCAGCTGCAGCCAGTTTCTCCAACACTCTCTCTTTTATCACCCCAAGATTCCTCCTTATATCAGCTGCTAATGCCACTCCCTTCATCATCACCATCTCCTTGAGTATATTTTCTTTTCTCTTTTTGTTGAATAGTATTAAGAGTACTTATTGTTTCTTGTTCAGTTGTTCTTGCCTAATTTGATCCTGATTGCATGGTGTGGAGAATACAGCTCTCCTTAACCCACCACTGCAACATCAGTTTTAGGTCGCAAGTGGTATTTCTAGTGGTAATCGTTTGCTCATTGGCAATGGTCCCTGGGATGGGAGTCTATCTCTATATTTTCTTGGCTTGATTTGCTTTTGATAATGATTTGTTGGTTTGTCTCATAGAAGAAGAGTGAAGAATGTGAAGGTGAAATTGGCGATGCTTTCGCATCTTCTAGTCTTGGAAGGACCGGAGCAAGTAGCTCCACCACCATTAGTTTTATTGTCGTTATTCATACTAATGTATATACATATATAATATAACATCATTGATAATTTGATATCGGGGCTTTAACTTAGAGCCGAACTGTTAAATGAGCCCTTAAGATTAGAATTCACTCATAGCCCAGCCCAAGTTGTTTACCCTACTTTCTACTTCCCGTGCAAGCCCTTCTTGTATAACCACTTCCTCCTGTGTCTAAAGCTTCTTCTTTGATTGGAGTTTGGTGACAGACGACACGCAGAATCAGACCCAGGTCAGCTTTACTTTCAATATTTTTCTTTTTCTTTTCCTTTTAATTTTGTTGTTTAATTCGTTTTTGGGTAGCCAAAGCTTTAGAAAGATGCTTTTTTTTTTATGTGAAAAAGTTGGGTGGTGGGATTTTGTTGGTTCTGTTTTAAGCTTTTATTAACTTCTTATTGTGGTAGTAAATGGCTTAAGATTTGGATACTAAGTTGGATCTTTTTTTGTACTTGAGATTACAAGATTTGAACCTTCGTTACTGAGAATAAGAGTCCAGTACTCTACCAAGTTGAACGTTTTTACTATGAAGATTTCTTGTGTTGGAATTTTGTTGTTGTTTAATGTATTGAATGTGGTACCTCTTCTGCAACTGCTGTTGGGTTATAAAGTCGGTTTTAAGCAGACATTGGGATTGGTTTACTTAGGGTATTGTTTGTTTTTTGGCATTTGTTACATGCTTATTACTTCCAGAAGCTTAAAAAAAAAAAGGCTTTGAGATACAAAGGCAAAATCTTCTCTTGTTCATGTCTATGTCTTTTATTTATATCTTAAACGTGTATCATGGATAAAAACATGTTAAATGAAATGACAGTGTAGAGGTTGTAAAATTTTGTACGGATAGCGATAAGATAGTACAAGCGAAGCCATGAACAAGAAGGAGATATTAAAGTTGGCAAAGGGATTCAGGGGAAGGGCAAAGAACTGTATAAGAATAGCAAGAGAGAGGGTTGAGAAGGCCTTGCAGTATTCCTATAGAGACCGCAGAAACAAGAAGCGTGACATGCGTTCTTTATGGATTCAACGCATCAATGCTGGGACTCGTCAACATGGCGTAATCTCTCTTGTCCTTTACTTTTCGATTTCTCTTGCCTTATTGCTATGAAGTCTATTAATATCTCCATTTGCTTATAATTTCACTTCTTATTGAACATTTCTTGATGTTTCAATACCCTCATTTGGTGTAATCCTTTTTTAATGTCTTTCTGGATCTTGTTATGGTTTTGATTTGATTACTTCTTAACTGAAAAAGGAGTGATATAATTTGAGACTTGTAGATGGTTTTTTTGCGCACCCAAACAGTTACTCTTGGCTTGTTGTTTTGCTTACTGCCCTTGTCATATCTGTGGTTTTCCTTTGTTCTTATTGATTTTGGTATCTTGATCCATAATCCTTAAACTACTTGATGTTTTGAATCATATATGTATCATGTAACAGAATGTACAAAATAAGTGTAATTTTTTGTGCCTGTGGTTTAGTGAAAATGGAAACACCATGACATGATTAAATGTGTAGGTTAATATATGGACAAAGTCTTTGAGTGGTTTATGTAAAAAACTGGTGTAGGATCATAAAATTAATTTTAGTGGGGTGAGATAGTGTTTATTATTGTTATTATAGAGATGTAAGCATTTCATTTAACATTAATCTTTTGAATTTCCCATTCTAGTTTTTGGAGGTCTATTATATCAAGGATGTTTGCAATTGAATTTTATTGTCATTTAACTATTTTCCTTTTCCTGTGTTCGCATCATTATAATATTTGAAAACAAGAAATAGGATTTCCCTGACTTAAAACATAGTAGACCGTTGTGTAGAATAGGAGAATGAAAATAAGTTGGTATTGGGGAAACAAATTTGGAAGTAATGGGAACCTAGGTTGAACTCAACTTGTTTGGAGGTGTATGGTTTAGGTAATGACAAAAGATACATAGATTATTGCTAATTAAGATCCTAGGTTTGCTCATTGTGCTTTTCTCATGTATGCTGCCTCCAAAAGAAAAAAAAAAAGAGAGTAATGATGAAAATGAGTTAAGTTCTTAAGTGATAATTATATTATGAATATTTTTAAAATAATAACATAAATGATAATGAAATAATGATGATAAAAATTATTCAAATGATTACTATCTCTGTTTTGATTGAGACAGAAAGATGAAAGATGGGGAGAGATTCTCAATTTTTTCTTATTTGAATAGCAATATTGTCAAAGACGTAAATAGATGAAAAACAATCATTTACAGTTTCTTCTTAACCTGCCTTTTGAGTTTCTTTAGTGGTAGAGAGATTTAGAATTGGAAGGACATGAGACGTTTGCAGTTTCATATAATTCACAAATGTCATTTAAGTTCGTGAATGATGAACTAAAGTTATTATGGTTCTCTCCTTATTAGTTATTACTTCTATCCAATATAAAAATTGAAAGGAAATTCGTTGTTACTTTCAATCATTTCTCATAACCTTTTTGTCATTATTTTTCTCCTTGTCTTTCTCCTTTTTCAATCCAAGCACATTTGTTTGGATGAAAAATAGTGATAAGTGCATGACTAATAATATAATGATAAGTAGTAAAGAAAGTGGCTTGATCCATCTAAATGAGCTTTACTTCTTCCCATGAGTAACCTACAAGGGAAATTTGTTCCTTTTGAATCGTGTTTCATCCAAGGACTTCATGCGTTATAGGAGCTTGCTTGGCATAGGGCATATCTTGCCCTTTGTAGCAGATTTGACACCAAAAACTCTTTTTTCCTTTCTTTTGTTCTTAGTTTTTGTTTTTGTTTTAAAGATGAAGATGGCTATATTAAGCAACCATGCCTGTATTGCAGTTTGAGATCTTATTGGCTATTCTGCATGTGGCATGCTTCAATTGGGAAAAAGCTGAACCCTTCATGAAAGTCAGAATATAAGCAAGTATTTCTTTAGAATCTTCTGATCTATATTTCTATAATCTTACAGCTTTATCCATTGAATCAATGGAATCTTGAAGGCCTTTGCTGAGGGGATCCTTGTGTGCGAAAGAGAGGAAAGCGAAAAAAAAATGTATATTAATTTCTGTCCAACTTTCCAACCTTTTGTCTGCTATTCCCTCTGGTTGATAAGTTTCTTGTGTTTTATTGGTATACATCTTCTTTCTACATCCCCACTCATATTATATTGTATATGCCATAAAAGCTGTTTTTCTACTTTTAGAATATATTTACTCATTTACACCTCATCTCCTTTCTCACTACAATTAGATCTCTCCAAAAGTTCCACTATCTTAATATTTCCTTTAATTAACGTTTGATCTTCTATATTCTTTCATGGATAGACTTGCTTCATGTCTTTCCATTTTGTCTCGCGAGATCTATTTGACTCTTCAACTATTGTCCGCCTGGAGTCTAAATACTTTTTCATAAGGTGCTGTTGGAATGCTAAAAGCATCTACTGATCCTTAACCAGCATTATTTATGGTTTAGTCTATGATTATCTGATCAATTCGAAGCTCCTAATTCTTCTTACCTCGCGTGAGTTGAATGTGCTATAGTTGGGGGCATGCACTGGCTGCTGCCCATGTAAATGTTGGGCATGCTGGCGGATGTGTGGTTCACGTGCTGCCTATATGCATGTGCTGACATGGAATGGAATGGGTATTGACTACAGACGCTATAGCTACTGTCTATGGGTGCCCTTTAATTTCACTTTAATGACTCTTCTTTAAAACATAGAGATGCAAATGGAATGGGTTTAGCAGTACGATAACTTTAACCATATTTATCAGTCAAATTTGTAACCTGCAATTGTTTGATGTAGAAAACTATAACCATAACATTATTTCCATATGTTACAATCAGTCATAACTGAGTACCTCAAATAACAGATTAACAAAGCACAAAATGGGCATTAAGTTGTTTTAATGTATTATCTAATATATGGTATGAAAATTGAATAGTTACTTGGTTATTATTCAATTCTATTTTAGGTAATTATCAGTGCACAATTGTTGTTGGGATGCTTTCAACCATGACTATAATTGTATCTGATCTGTTATCTTTTTCTTAACAATCACCAAATTCAGTGCCATTAAGTTTTCATTTTATTTATAGCTCTTCTTGTTTCAGTTAACCATTAATTGTTCAGTACTCTCGTTGACCGTTTCTGTTGGCATCCCTGGCTACACAATATCCAACTGTATTGGAGTGCAATTGCTCTTTATACCTTTGTTTATTAGTATTGTGTTCACCAAAGATTATTACATCTTCTTGATTGGTTGTCCGGTTGTTCCTACTTCCTACCTTTTTAACGTGCTTTTGTCGTGGATCTAGCAGATCAAAATTTCAGTAGTTAGGCACCATTTATTTTTTTTAATTTCATTAAGAACTTCTCTAAATTTAATTAGGGAAAATTTCATGAGTTAGGCACCATATTTTTTTTAATTTCATTAAGAACTGCTCCAAATTTAATTAGGGAAGTAATTATGTGAATTTGCATTTAAGGTGTATTCTTAGAAACAAAAAACATTTGATTGGCTCTTGAACTTCCCAAAGATCCGTTAGTGTAATTTTTTAACTTCACAAGCAAGGTTAAGACTAAGACATATCCCTTTTTTATTTAATTAGGTTGTTTACTATACTTTAAGGAGTATGCGTCACCTTGCTAATCCTGCTTGTGGAGTTTAAAAACTCTACTGACTGTGGATAAAATAATTTCTCAATTGTTTAAATCAAACCGTAAGATTTGTGTACTTTTCACCGTTGATTTAGCCTGGCAAACTGGAAGAAATTTAGCTATATATTTATCATGTCTGTATTGTTTTATTTGATTCAAAATTTTCTGATTGATGGGACCAGGAAGAGCATCTTCCAGTTATGTGTATGGAGATTATTTAGTTATTTCTGATTGTGAACTTATTTACATTTTCTTTTGTTTTTTCCCCAAAAGAAAAATAGGAGATGACGAGGAAGTGAAGAAAAAAAACTTATTTTGCAAGAAACATGGCTTAGCATGTTGTCTGTTACTTCTAATGTATCAGAAATGTAGTTAGTGCTTTCACATGCAGATTGTATGATACATCTGAGTTTTGAAGGATACTTACTGTTGCTGTTTCTATGATGATTTCTTTTGTTTATAGGTAAACTATGGTAACTTCATGCACGGACTGATGAAAGACAACATCCAATTGAACAGGAAAGTTCTCTCCGAAATAGCTATGCACGAACCGTATAGTTTTAAGGCTCTCGTAGACATTTCCCGCAATGCCTTCCCTGGAAACAAGAATGTTGTACTCCCTACCAGGAAGGCAGATGTTTCGATCAATGTATAATTACTTATTCGGATGTCTTTATCATAACTTTCTCTTACATTTGGATTGAACAGAGTCCTTTTTAGAAATAGAGTGTTTTATGTTTGGATTATTGCCTGCCAATGAAAAGATTTAAATGCCATAATTCCATTTGCTATTTGATGCTGTGTGTTCCCGCTGTCTGTGCATCTTGCTTGGTCATGCTTTTCTTTCTGACCTGTTTATTTTGGTCGTTTATGCTTCTGTGTTTTCTTGTCAAGCATTTTGTCATTTGCAAGCACAAGCAGGTTATGTCGATATTCTTAGGTAATATACACGAGTTGAAAAATAACAGGTAGACACCTTAACAAATTGAATTGTGTCGTGGTAGGTTTAGGCAACTTTCAGTAGAGGGTGCCACGTGTTGGTCTTGTGTACTTGCTGCAAATTTGTAGCAGAGGCCGTCACGTGTCGTCCTCGTGTCTTGCTACATGACAGTCTTTTGATTTTGATTTTTTTTAATTTAAAAAAAAAGTGTGAGTTCATGTCTCTCTGTCTTTTTAAGTGTGGACTCAATATTTTTTCCAACTGGTTTCTTTCTTTTTGTTCTTTTTTTTTTTTTTTTTATTGATGGGGCCTAATATGTTTTATTTTTTTTCAATCAAGATTGGCTTTTTGTTTTTTCCATTGATGGGTCTATATGTTTTTTCTTTTTTTTCGATTGGGTTAACGTTATAATTTATCGTGAAATATTTAAAATAATATTTAAATTTTAAAATATTTTAATATAATGCTTAAATTATGAATCATGTGGTATTTATTTTTAATATGATTAGTTTTAATTAATAATACATAATAGATAAATAAATTTTTAAATATTATTTTAGTTAATAGATATATAATTTAAATCTTACATTAAAGATTTTTAAATTTCAAATATTATATTTAACATTTCATTAAACTTCAATTGCCATTTATAACAATAATCCATTAAAATTCAATTTTTGTGATGAACATTTTTTGTAACGATTTTGGGATCGTTAGATGAAAAGAATTTTAAAATCGAAAAAAATAAAAGGAATTACCATCAATTTTTTTTCAGAATGTGATTGGTCACTTAAAAGTTTATTTTTTAAATAAATTATAAAAACGAGTTTAAAGTTTATCAAAAGATAAATTTTGATCTACGAAAATATATTTTGAGTTCAAGAGTCGATTACGCATGCAAAAAGATTTTCACCTCATAATGCCCATAAATTGGTATTAATTAATCATGCACTATTTTCGGTGTTGGATAAAATAGTTTTGATTTAAAATTTAATACTAATTTTTTTATTTTTTATTTAAAAAAAGTAATTTTATTAAAATTCTTTATTTAGTAATATCGAAGAAATCTCTAAGCTAAAGAATTCTCTTAAAATTCTTCAACATCTAAGTAGAACTTTAAAGATAGCTTTTTTTACTGATATTTATACCATGACATTTCTTGAAAATGAAAATAACATTCTTCAGGAAAGATTATTGTTGTTGGCTCTACAACATCTAAACAGAGTACCAAAGATTATTTTCTTCAAAATATTATTTTTATTTTTTTTTCATGTTTTTTTTTAAATTAAACACATTTTTTTATCCGAAAATGCCAACGATAGTATTATTAGATGACAAACAATAATTAAAGGGATAAACATGCCAATTGAGTCTAATCAATAATAAATAGATGCATTAATAGATGTTATGCGTAATAATGAAATGCAATTTTGAAATTTGAGTTCTTAAATATAATAAGATTACTCTGACTCCTCAACATCTAGGCAAAGTTTAGGTGCTATTCTTTATATTTAAGATCCCATTATATCACTATATATATTTTTTATTAAAGTTTTAATCCCATTGTTAAGACGAATCAAGGACTCGCATGAAAAGCTTAATGAAATAAAATTTCTTAAGTATCCCATTATCTAGGCGACATTCAAGAATAAATTATTTCAAGTGAGATTTTCACACGTATCCTTAAAATTTTGGAATGGTCTTGGGTAAAGCTTAGGTCGAGGTTTTAAAGTTTGAATAATTTTTAAGTGATGTTTCGAGGTTGCATGCCAAATTTAGGATTTAGGTTAAATTTAGTGTCTTGATCAATTTTTTAAGATTTAGGATCTCGCTTTAGGGTTTTAAGATTGGAGATTCGAGATTTGGGAGCTTTGGATTTTAAGGTTTTGGTTTGAGTTTTAAGGGTTTGAGGGTTTTAGGGTTTAGAGGGTTTTAGGGCTTGGATTTTAGGGTTTGGAAGATTTTGGGGTTTTGAGGGTTTAAGATTTAGAGGTTTAGGGTCTAGAAATCTTAGGGTTTTAAAGGTTTTAAGGATTTTAGAGTTTCAAATTTTAGGGATTAGAGAGTTTAAGGTTTCGATTTTAGTATTTAAAGGGTTTTAGGGCTTCGATTTTAGGGTTCAAAAAGTTTAGAGTTTAGTTTTAAGGTTTAAAAAAAACGCAAACATCTCTAAAAATTTTTAACATCTAGGAGAATTTTAAAAACAAGTTCAGTTTTTATAATTTTTGAAAATTAATTTTTCATGTTTTTTTTCTTTTTTTTATTATTAATTATTAATTTATTAACTTATTATTATTATTTAATAATTCTCCAATATCTAGGAAAAATTATTTTTTAAAAGATTGTTTTTTATTCTCTCCGTCATCTAGGCAAAGAAAAAAAAATTTATTACTTTATTCTTATTATCGTTTTTTTAAAGATTTTTTTAGCATTTTTTTATTATTATTCTCTTTTATTTATTTTTTAATTATTATTTAAAAAAGAAAAATAAAAATTTTGAAATTTATTTTTTATTCTTATTATTGTTATTTTATTTGTTTTATATTATTTAATAAGATTTGTTTTGAGAATTTTTACAAAATTATCAAAAATTTTAACTTTATTACTCATTATTTATTAATTTTTTTGTTTATTTATTTAGCTTTTATTTTTGTTAATTATTATTATTATAAAAATAAATATTTATTCTAATAAATTTAAAAATTTAAACAATCATAAATAACGAAACTTAAAGTGACATAAATAATATATAAATAAATAAAAACAAATCAAAAAAATTTTAAAAAATAAAATCCAAATAAAAAAACTTGAATAAGATCAATCAATGGTCATGTCAACGTTGGTCTGGGTGGACCAGTCAGTAGTGGTCTAGTTCAACAATTCGGATGGATTGGCAGTCTAACAACGGTTCAGTTGAATTAGTATGGGTCTAGAGGCATAGACGGGTCGCAAGTCAAACGTGTGGACCTCAGGTAGGATCAAGGATGGCACACGAATCTTGGAGCTCAAAATGGCTTCGTTTTTCTTCTTTTTAAATGGCATCGTTTCCTTTCTTCTTCTTTTTTTATAAAAACTCAAAAAAAAAATTTTGTTCATTTTTTTCTCTTCTCCCTCCCTCTTTCTCAACCTCAATCAACTGGTGGCCATATGCCATGCTGGTAGCCTTCGGTGGTCCCTTGCTGTCGTGCCAGTAGCCAAAAAAACTCAAGAAAACTCTCAAAAAATTTTCTCGACCCCTTAAACACATATTTGGGCCTAGTTTCACATGAATCTCATTGAAATGCCCTGGATCGAACTTTAAGGGTTCAGTCAAACCTTTTTTTTTTATACTTTTTTTTATAAAGCTAAATTGATTTTTTTTTTTGCAGGGGCTTTGGCACTGGGTTCCTCTCTTTTTGGGAGGATTGTGTTTCTAATTTTTTTTTTTAGGTTTTTTTTTTTTGGAAGTGAGTTTTTCTAAAATTTTTCTAATAAAATTTTTTTGGGTTGTTTTTTAGTGGTTTTCTGGTGATTTTTTCTTGTGGGTTATCTAAGGCTTAAGTTTTGGCTAGGTTTTCGTTGGGGCTCCTAAAGGAGTGGCGCAAGTGTCATGCGTGGGTCTATAGAGGGGTGGTCGGAGCTTTTGGAGTACGTGATGATGCACGAATGGGTGTTTGTGGTGTTGCATGTGGAGGTCAGGAGTTGGGGTTCTGGGATTGTTATAAAAGAGAGGCTAAGCTGTGTTTTCTTGGCAATTGGTGTGTAATGGGTAGCAAGCCCCTCCTTTTCTGTTGAGGTGCTGAATGGCTTTATAGGGCTAGTTGGGATATGTGGTATCTGGTGGATGTTCAGAGGGTGTTGATGGGGTTATATTGGAATGGTTCTATAGGGGAATAAATGGCCAGTGATCTAGTGAACAAAGGGTGGACAGTGCCTACAAAACAGTTAGGGCATAGGTTTAGTGGTGCCATGCACGGCACCACTGTCTCTCTTTTCTTCTTTTTTTTTTAAAAAATTAATTAATGTACTTAATTATTAATTTTAATAAAAATTTAACAAAAAAATGGGGTTTCATCTGGTAAACTCGGATAAAATTCCATATATACAACATTTTGATAATAAAATTATAAATAGATCATATAAAAGAATGTGTTCTTAAAAATCATCAATGAAAAGAATAGGGTCAGACAAAACCTAAGAATAATATGAACACATTCAAAGAATAAAAAAAAATGGTTAAAGTATGATTTCGTTGCATCGATCAATTAAGGTGAATGGTAGGATTATGCAAGAAGCTTTTTCAATGTCACATCAATCAATTATAAAATAATTCATCTTTTATCAAAGATTGGCTGGTCCAAGAATTAGAATGCGGGATTGAAATTGTCTTTGATAAAATATTTCTCCAATCGTGCCTTTCTTTTTTTGGAAGCAAAAAATAAATAGCAAAAATATAGCTGAAGTTTTTTCATTTTAATAATAATTTATTCTTCCCAACTCGTATATGAAAATCAGTCCCTATCGTAACGGTTTTGGAATCGCCAAACATAAAAAATTTTGAAAATCGAAAAAAATAAAAAGAGTCACCGCCAATATTTTTTAGGGTGTGATTGGTCATCCAAAAGTTTATCTTTTTAATAAAAATATAAAAGCGAGTTTAAAGTTTATCAAAAAGATGAATTTTGATCTACGAAAAATCAGGTTGGGCTCAAGAGTCAGTTACACGTGGGAAAGGATTAGCACCCTACAACGCCCATAAATTAATACCATTTAATCATACACTATTTTTGGTGTTGGATAAAATGGTTTCGATTTGAAATTTAATACTAATCCCCTTCATTTAAAAATATTTTTGCTAAAATTCTTTATTTAGAAATATTGAGAAAATCTTTAAGTTAAAGAATTATCTTAAAATTCTCCAACATCTAGGCATAATTTAAAATAACTCTTTT